GATTTTATTACTCCTTAGTTCTTATTACTTTTATGGGGGAGAGAGAATAAAGTCAAATATGGTAAAACAAAGCTGTCAGTCAAAACCAAGGATAGACATAGCATATGATATAAAACAGAGTACAAGGTTATCAACAATGGTTATCAACGATGTGTCTTGTTTCCTTAAAAAGAATTGTCTATCTCATTAGATATTATAAAGTTGAACAAAACAGTAGAGAACAAGACCAATAAAACTTAGGCATTGTAAACATTACAGGACTTCCAAAGGAGACAATAGTCAAACCAGAATGGGCTTCTTAGTGAATCATCTTGCCTTCAAAGTAGTTGCCTATATCCTCAAACTTGATACTATCATACAGAATGGAACAGAGTCTAATCAGTCAAAACAAGATCGTGAGAGTATTACAAGACTTAAAAAACAAGTTAATAGGAAGTCAAAAAGAGTTACTATTATATATCCTGATAATTTTTAAAATTTTTCCCCTTAATTAAAACAAACATAAGAAATAACTAAATAATTTTTTTAAAGAATAAGGAAGAGATTGAGATAAAACAGGACATAACAAAATAACAATACAGGTCAAAGCATGACTGTTTCAGCAACCTCGTGCTTCACCACCAAATAACCCGACTTAATAGTAGTTACCATAGTGTCTGTCTTTTTACAGGGAGGGGAGATGCTGACTTGGCTTCCAGGAGTCCTAAGCTCCAGCATGGCATGGATCTCAGCAGACACTGCTAGTTCTCCCCCTGGAAGGGCTGCAGTGGGCTAAACTACCGCCGCTTAACAGGGAGGGGAGATGCTGGCTTGGCTTCGCAGAGTCCTAAGTTCCAGCATGGCATGGATCTCAGGAGACACTGCTAGTTCTCCCCCTGGAAGGGCTGCAGTGGGCTAAACTACCGCCGCTTACCAGGGAGGGGAGGTGCTTGCTTGGATTCCCAGAGTCCTAAGCTCCAGCATGGCCTGAGAGAGAGTTTTGATGGGTATATGAGCCTTGATTGCATATTATTTTCTTTCAGGACTTGGAATATTTCTCCTCATTCCCTTCTTGACTTAAGAGTTTGTGTTGATAAGTCTGTTGTTATTTTGATAATTTTCCCGTTGTAGGTAATCTGCTTCTTTTCTCTGGCTGCTTTTAATATTCTGTTCTTTTGGTGGATTTCTAGAATCTTGATTATTATATGTCTAGGCGTAGATCTGTTTTGGTTGTAGGTAGCTGGTGTTCTGTATGCCTCTTTTATCTGGATATCATTTCTTTTTGCTATACATGGGAAATTTTGCTTTAATATATCTGTGAATATTCTTTGTATTTCATTTTTGGTTGCTCCTGCTTCCTCACTCACATTCTTTATCTTAAGTTATGTATCTTTTTGTCATCTTCTAGTCTTTGAATTGTTTCTTTCTGGTTCCTTGTTATTTTTAAGAGGCTTTTTCTTTCACGATCATATGTCATAAATCTCTCTTCAAGTTTCAGAAGGCTGTCTTTGGTTTCTGTCAGGATATTTTGCCAGTATTCAATGGAGTTTTTAGTTTCCTGGTAATCTCTTTGGATCTGTTTCATGTATTCTAAGTTATGTTTAAATTCTTCTTCAGAAGTTTCTCCTTTTTTTCTAATATCCTCAATTCTTCCATCTGTGTTTTCTTGGGTGGGGCTTGTCATTTCTTTAATTAATCTCTTTATATCTTGCCTCACTTGGATCAGGAGTACAGCTTTAAATTCATCTATGAGGTCATACAGGTATTTTTTAATTTCGGCTGATGCTGTGTCCAGTATTGGATGGTTACTGTGCTTGTTCTCTTCAGTGTTTACTTCTCCTGGGCTTATTTTCTCATATTGGGCAGCTGGAGATTTTTTTTTTTTTTTTATCTCTTGTCATGTTTCTGGATTCTTTCAGACTGGAGTGTCCTGGGCCTCTCCGTATTGCTTAAGGCCTTTCAGAAGCATCCAGACCTCTCTGTGACAGGAGCACCAGGACAGCGGGTCTGCCTAATTCCAAGATGTCTTCCACTAGTTCTCTGTATGATGCTGAAGCCATCATGGCGTCAGGCTCTGCCCAATTTTAAGATGTCCTCCACCAGACCTCTCTACAGGGCGATTCGGTGATGTCACCGAGCCACAGGTTCTGCCCAACTCTAAGATGTCTTCTGCCAGACTCTCTGTGTTATTGACATCCCCGTGGTGGCGGGCTCTGCCCAGTTCCAAGATGTTCTCTGGCCAACCCCAGCGGCCAAGGGACCCAGTCCCCAGTACTCACCAGGGCTCGGTGCAGGTCCTAATGCACACCATGCTGCTCGCCCTCACTGCACTCCTGGCACAGCACGGAATCAGAAAACTGCACAGCATTTGGCTTCAGAGCTCCAGAGCCTTTCGCAATCTCCTCTGGTGCAGCAGGGCAGTCCTGGCTGCTTCTCGGGGTCCCGGGTCTCAATTTCCAGCAGTCACCAAAAGCCAACACAGCTTTTCCTGTTGGGTCCTCAGGTCAGTTTGCTGCATTAAAGGTGCGGGATTTGCAGCCTCCCTTTATCAGCCTTCGCAGTCTCAGCACGACTTTAAATCCTCCAGCCGCACTGTCTTGGTTAATAAGAATCATTATCCATTCATCTGGCCCTCTCCATGTTGTCATATTCTAGCATCTAATATGATTTCTCTGGAGAGACTCTCCGCCCGATCCCCTAGCAAGTTGCCATTTTAGGACCCTCTTCTGTTTACATGTTTTTGATAGCCAAAAATTTTTATATTCCTATACCTAGTGTTTAGTTTCATTCTGGTACATGGTTAATAGAAAATATTTAGCCCTTCAAGAATTTTTCGTAAATCTCTTCAGTTATATCACTCTGCATTACTCCACACTTGGGAAATGTTTTGGGACTGTGTGCTTTGTCCTAGTTAGTCCTTATCACTATGGCACTGTGAATCGAGATTTCACTCTTTTGATAAGTATTTGTGGTGTCCTGTAAACTTCCCATACGGTAAGTCCTTTATGGAAAGTCAGCTGCACACTCAAAGCCCCTCAAGTTTCAACTCATTCCTCCATTTTCATACAATGCTAACAGCTTTGTTGGCTTCACTTTGACCCAGCAGATGCTCTGGCTTAGCAAAGGTTAACCCTTAGTCCATATCCAGAATTATCAACTAGCATCACGGGATACAATGGCTAGTAATTTCAGATCTCCAGGCACAATTCTGTTTTCCCTGTAACCAGTCAAACTAACCCCAGTTGCTGCCAGTTCTCTGATGCACCTAAAAATAAGATGCTACCCCTCAAAATTCTCAAGTTCAGACTAGCCCTTGATCTATTAGATCCCAGAATTCTCCAAATTCTTTTACTTCACCCCCAATCTAATTCTAAATTGCTTTCCAATCTAGAGAAGGCAGATCTGCCCCTTGGTATCATTTTTCTTTCTTCTGAGAATTTCTTAAGGGCAATAGCCATTTCATTACCCAACTGCAACTTCTTAGAATTGTAACCAAGAACTACCATAATTGATGGAAAAAACCCACTGAAAACAAGAAGTTAAGAGTTCTACGTCTTAGTTTTGAGTACAATTGATCTGGAATTTTCTCCTTAAGATCAAGGTACACAGGTCTGCAGTGATATTGACACTCAGTTGTTCAATGTCCTTACCTGCTCTCATAAGAGGTTACTATTAAGAACACAATGAAAACAGTACTGAAAGGAAATTAGCTTGGGAGTAAATGATTTGAATATCTGCTTTAAGTTTTAAAATATCATATAGCATATCAATCTAAGCCTTATCTCTGATAAAGGGAAGTCTCAAGACATGAGTTTCAGAGCAAAATTAAGTGCCTGAAGAATGCTAACTGGTGGAAGAGCATGAACAGTTCTTTCCGCTGACTTTTAAGTATCTGGCAGCTGGTGAATGCATTAGGTAAAGGAAGGTGGTACTCCAGATAAGAGCATGTGCTGTCGGATGAAGTGACCAGAGGAGAGGCTAAAGGGAAATGCAAGGGAGACGTGATTGTCTCTGAATGACCTGTTACTGGCACCACTTACTGCAGGGAGAGAGGGAACTGGAATGGATACATCTAAAGACCCCAATTCAAGAACACCAGATATGTTTTATAAAGTACAGTTCAGTACAGGTTTGGCTCTAATGGAATCCTAGTAACCAGAGTACATGATTCCTAAAGGGAACACTCTTACATAGGTAGAATATATATCATACATCACTTTGCAGTCTGCACAATCTCTTGGCTTGTTATTGAGGCGTGAGGGTAAAGGCTCTGGTCCAGTCCTACTATCATAAATTTTCTTTACCCATCTTCTGTTGTATCCCTTAATCGCACTCTCCTCTAAGAAAGTTTGACTGTCTTCAGAATAGCAAATGCAGGGAAGCTTGGTTGTTTTAGGAAAGAAACCCAGAGTCGACTACGTAAAAACTCTGTGAAATAAATGGATGGAAGACAAAGATCATATGGTCCTGAACAAGTCCATCTGAGAAGAGTGATATGCTGTCAGAATGAAGTATACAATCCATGTTCACATAAAATTAAGTATATAATCTAAACGGAAAAACAAGTAGACAAGATCCAAAATAATATTTCTCAACCCTAAATATATTTTAGAATCATCAGAACCTAAAAGAATACAAGTTATCTTTGCCCTCACACTGGCGATTCTATTTAACTAGGATGGAGACATAGACTGGGCATCAGCATTTATGGAATCTCCACAGGTGATATTAATGCGAAGTCAGGGTGACAATCACTGGTCTTAGGGTCTTGGCTAAGCTGGCACAGATGACAGTGAAATGTCAGTTCAGAGAAAATCTTGGAAATCAATTCACTGAGTATGAATTCTCAGTTAACGCTAGTATAGCCTGGAACAAAAAGAAAAAGGTTGCAGAGGGAAGGACATCTCTAGTATCCCCTGAAGCAACGACTTCTCCCTTAACTGAAATATAATTTTACATTCTTTAGGTTCTGAAATGACCAAGGCAGACGAATCTTGACAATATATCAGAAAGTAACTCAATTATTATTGCTGTGTAATACTTTTATTAAAGTTTTATGAGGGAAAATACCAAATTTCTTATGTGTTATATCACAATTTTCAGGCATGTCAGAGTCCAGTGGCAAATTACATTTGGAGTTTTACAGTCCACATCTGTATACCATTCCTTTGAGAAATATTGAAAAGCAGTTCTATACCTCAGCATTAAAGGTTACAAAAAGCACCATTTAAAGGAGGACCCTAATATATAATTCAAGTTATAGTCTTATTCCTCCTTACAGCAGACTTAGTACTCATTCAATGCTTCAGTATAATACCAACCAACATGCTCCAACTTAGCAAAATTCAAATAAATCTTATATGTGGGACCCAGTGCAGGACTCATCAACAGGTTTTCACAGTCTTAAAACTGCAAGCTGGGTAAGCTAGTGCTCTGAGGGGAATGAAAAGATGGCGATCCCTAAAGTAATACTTAACAGGTACCCTCTCACCATTTAACATGATTCCTATAAAATCCATAGTCCAGTATTTCATACCACACTTACTGCAAAGTTCTGTGCTACGCACATCTTATCTAACTCCAACTAACATTGAAGCTAACACAAAATTTACTTTTTAATGGAGCATATTCACTTCAAAACACAAGTGAGGAAAACAAATCAAGACAAAAATCCCAATTAGAATTCTAGAGGGACTCCACTGCCAACACCTCGATTTTACAAGTAACAGATCAGGTGTGTGCCCCTACCTTTTCTTCCTTCTTTTTTCTTATAATTTACAAAAGATCTGGTTTTTCATTACAGGTTCATTGCAAAAACCACAGTCCTTCAGTCTCCAGAGTGTTTGGCACTTAGGAGAGACAAATGCCTATAGTCATGAAATCTGGAAAGACCCTTATCCCTAACCAGGTCCTTCATCTCATGGGTAACTGCAGTTGCAGCAAGAACCTGGCTTTAAGGATGCGTCAAAATAATGCAGGAATGAATTATGTATTTGCTCTTAAGACCATGCCCCAAATTACTAGAATGTGAGAAATTTCTGAGAACAGAATATATTTCAAACACACACACACAGACTATTGCATATCATTTTTAGCTGAGGTCAGAGTTTTGAAAGCCCTGTTTTCCCAATTAAAACCAGGGAATTCTATCATCTGTGCTTCTCCTTTATTTATAGCCCAGATTAAGATAAACCCAGTCTGGAGGTATCACTTCCTTCCAAAGTTTACTTTAGCAGCATGCATGGAGTACTGACACTCTTCAAATGTTTTATTTCATATTCATTAGATAAAAGATACTAAAAGTAACTGGAAGAAAGTAAGTGGGCCGGCTTGTTGAATTCTCTCAGAAACTCCTCTCAATTTTTTCCCCAGTTTCTCTATCACGTAGATTTAAAGTCAACACTATTGATGGAGGGTAGGAACAGCTCCAGAGGTGTGTGTGCAGGGCTCACATCCAGCTCCAGGCTGGTAACCACGGTGTGAAGTTCTCTCTACTGGTGGTTACTATATAAGTAATACTTAAACTCTACTGAAGTCTGCCCAAGTAAAAGGAAAACACAAAGTAAAGTAGAGAATAGGAACAATAAGAGACAAAAGAGAGATGTACTATCTCCTGTTAAATTTTGTACAGTAAGATCCAAAAATACCACTAGGCTATTTCTGATTTTACTTTCTTTTAAAAAGGTTATTTTCAGTTCTAAGCTATGTAAGCCTTTAGTTTCTTACTGTCCTCCTCAGCTCAGGCACTTTTCTTTTTCCTACAACCCAAATACTATAGTTATTTATGGGTCAGCCCTTCTTGAGGACTATTTTTCCTTTTTTGGTTAACTATGGCTCTGCAAAATGTCCCCAGTTGCGCACATTAAAAAAAAGGCTTGGACCATTTTGCCTTACTTGTTTTCAAATCTGACAAATGCTCTTTTGCAGAAAATAAGCTACCACTTTAACTAAACACTATATAAAAGGATAGGTGAGTTATACTTTGGGTTACTTTCCTCCTTCCTCTTCCCTCTAGAAACTTCCTGTGACTTATCAGGAGAGGTTTCTTGGGTTATGTGTTAGCAGGACAATGGATAGCATCACCCAGATCCTCTACTCATCTCTTTCCACACCAGCTGGTAAGCTCATTTCACGTTGTCTGAAAGAACATCTAAATCTTGGGAAATTCACACTGCACACTTCCACACACGAAGAGCTCCAGCAGCAAAACTTACCGCCACCAGAGCCAGGCCCAATTCACAGAAGCCTCCAGCCTGAGACAAATTGAGGAGGCCTTTCTTCTCACTCCACTACAGTGGGACACCAGTGTAGAGTAAAACTTTTAATACACATATACAATGTTTCAATACTCTTGAAAAGAAGTAACCAGCGCAACACAATCCTCAGTGTAACTTCCAAGAACCTGACTCTTCCTGGCTGGCCTACTTACTCCACTGGAACTAGACAGAAACAAAATTCCAGTAAAACTGAACACTATTTAGATCTTGAGAGTTGGCTGTAAGAGTTGGCATGCATTTTTAAAATGTCACACTATTCAAAAAGTGGTTTGGAGTGGGGATTTAGCTCAGTGGCACAAGCACCTGCCTGGCTAGTGAAAGCAAGGTCGTAGGTCTGAACTCCGGTACAAAAAAAAAGAAAAAAAAGAAAAGGGGGTTTGGACCACAAAAAAACTCTCTTGAAAGTAACTTTGGATGACTAACTTTCAACAATTAGCAATTACCAAAACACTAATGAATTTCCTACAAACAGTAACTGCCTCCTTTCTGTTTCATAGCTGAGATCAAAGAGGTCAATAAATCCAAAGACAACTAACTGTGTTGCCATCTCTGCCATAGATGGAAAGAAGAGAGAGAAACTAACCTGTTGGAGACCTTTCATGGTGGCTAGGTTCACTTTAGCAGTCAAAAGCTATCTCTACTACCAAACAATTGGGCTTCCTTACATGCTGAATGTTTGGCTTGCATTTATCTGTAAAATGGAAGGGCCAACATTCTTGGGGAAATATGTTTTATCTCGGAACCTCAAGAGTGGGTTGAACAGTTACTTTTCAGCCCATAAACAGGTATCAGTGATCCTCTTCCTCATCAAACACATTTTTAAAAAGACAAGAAAAAAGAACCTTGTTAATATTTGGTGCAAAGAGCAACAATGTTCATAGTGAGGAATACCAGATAATTTGTAGTATTATGGCTTTACATATCTTTAAGGGAATCTATGATGTGTATCAAATGAGCCTAAGTGGATTAATATCTATAGCAGTGCTTAGTGTAATGATGTATGCAATGATGGCTATTTTAATGTAAGACTGCAGATTTCTCTAGAGAACAAAATCTTCACCATTTTTTAAAAGCCTGAAATTATTCAATACAGTCCCTTAAGACCAATGAAAGGCATTTTTTTAATTAAAGAAAAAATGTAGGCACACAAAAATCTTTCAAAGATGAAAGAAACTGTTTTCCTTAATTCCACGCTCATCTAGAGCTGTTGCTCTGAGAAAGAGAAGTTGGAAGCAGGGCCAGGCCAGGTGGGAAAACCTAAGGGAATGTGCTATACTGCTGAAGCTGTAGCTCCCAACTAAAAGGAACAGGTCTGCATTCTGTCTTATAACTGTAAGTCATACTTCATTCCTTAAGTAGAAGTAAAAGCTGTAACAAAGCGGCCCAAGCCTTTAAGGGGCTAAACAGCAGACCCTCTGGCACCCCTAGTTTCTAGGATGGGTCAGGCCTCAAATGACTTTTCAAAGGGGTTACTTATCCAGGGAGTTTTGTATTAGAGGGGTCAGGTACAGAATTTGAAAGTTATTAAAAGGAAGAAGCTGAAATGAGGGGAAAATGGGTTCTTTTGGGGCAAGTGGTATCAAATAAAAAAGCACAGACTGTGTCACACACTGTGGTACTATAGAGAACCCATGCAGGAAAAGCCACGTCTGCAATGAGGCAGCTCTAAGTAGGGTAGCAGTCTAGTGCAAGTCCATCCTTGGACATCCAAGGTAGCAGTGGTAGAATCACCGCCCAACAAGGATCCTAAGAGTTTGCCATTCTTTCATTTTAAGAAAGAATGCTTCCTATGTAGTTATTCCTGCAGCTCACCCAAACAGTTCTTAGCAAGTACCCACAGGCAGAAATAATTCATCTAGCTGGGGCTAGAGGCTTCCAATAACCTTCCTCTCATATATTTATATATATATATATGTGTTGTTCTTAAAATAAATTCCATGAACTCATAAAGCTCTCATCTGTAATCAAATGCAAAAGCAGAGCATCCTACTCAGAGGCTCTGAAACACACACATCAGCCTCAAAGCAAATCAGCCTTCCAGTCTCAGAGAAGACTGCTTCAGTTCACAGGCAAGGAAGAGGCTTCTCCTGAATCCTCAGAGGCAAGAAGCCTTCAGATGGGTTTGTACAGCAACGTAGTGACATACTTCTTCTTGTAGCGGTGAGTTGCACTAAGGACCATCACACTGTCCTGCAAGGAAAAGAAGCACATACACTAATTCATTAGTTCGCCACAGGCAGCTGTTTCCAGCCATCAGTCCTTTACAGCCACTCACTTGTAACAGAGATAACTAGATATGATAGAAAAGAGGTTGGTTTTGGAGTCAAATTAACTTCAATTCCAATCTGGATTCTCACCAGCATTATATTTGTAGCTGTAGGCAATCCATGTACAATTTCTAGGTTTTTTTGCCCCCTCATAATACAAAAGATAACCATCATTGAACAATTCTGATTACAGGATAATACATGACAAAGAGCCTGACCCATAGAGTGTTGAATAAATACTCATTTCCTACCTCACTCTCTTCCTCACTTCAAACTCAATACTAGGTTTAATACTAGTGAAGAAAAAAGGAAATACTCTATTCTCCAGGTCTAGAAAGAAAACATAAATGCAGTAAGAAGGAAACTGATCCTTCTGAAAAACCATTTCCAAACTCTTAAGGAATCTAATTCCCACTCAATACCAGGGAAGAACTTGAAAAGCTCTCTCTGATCTAAAAGGAACTGATTCTCCTTAGAAATACATTCAACCCAATGGGTCAGTTCCAATGGCCTAAACAATGTGAGAGAATCATGAATGGGTCAAAGCCGAGATGAACCATAATCAACAACTTCACTTAGATCAGATCCAATAAGAAGAAAGTAAGAGTTATCATTCCCCAGACTATGGTGTTACAGACTGTGGATAAACCACAGGAAGAGATGCCAGGTCTATGATATCAACTGACAACTGGGTAGTAGTTACAGGAAGTAATAAAGTAATAAATAATAAAGTAATAAAAATTCAATCAGATTCCAAACAACCCAAGGAAATCCAATTTAAAATCCAGTGTATCTTTCTACTTTCTACCACATTGTATTATTCACAATGAATGTTTATCAGGTTAATAGTCTATGACCATAGCATGCTGATATACAGCGTAATATGACAGAAGCAAGGCAGGTAAAAAGTTCAATCACAGGAAAGACTAGGAATGAGAAGTAAGTAAGAGAAAGACCTACTTCGGGAGACCTGATATAATGATATACAGGAAAGAATATGGAATTAGGATAAGAGGACTGGACCTCAGTCCTGTCTCTGGTACTTACTGGCAATTTGACATTCTCTGAGCTCTAGTTTCTTTATCTATAAAACAGGGGTTAAAAATAATACTTACCTCACAAAGTAATTATAAAAATGAAATTCAATAATGTATTTACATACCACCATATAATCTATTAAAGTCAGCTGCTAGTGATTTTTGTACTTTATCCTCACACCTAAGAAATGCAAGTGGTTTAAAGAAAATATTACTAGACCATCCTTGATGCACTAACTCTGACTCTTTAGGGCTGTAGCTGCTGAGTTTATATGATCATAAACTTCCCTAGATGATTCTGACAGTCATTAGTCTAGCTCGACAGCCACAGAGCTACAGAACTGTATTCTAATAAGCAAACTACACATGGATGTCAAGACAGAATAGGTCTTTTCAATCCAGAGTCTAAAGCAACAGAAAAATAAAAAGCCTCTAGAGGTGCAGGGGACAGGGAAAATCTGGTCATATTCTCCTTTACCTCTTGTATAGGAGAAATGCAAGCTCTTGGGTATTTGTGACAGAGGCACTAGGAAACAGTTCAGTTTCAAATTTAAAAGTAGAAATCTTACTATCATATTTGAGCATTTGTGCACTGGAAGCTAAATGTGATTCTTCTGTGAATAAATTGCAACTGGTATGAATTCAAACTGAGTAGGTGGTATAAAGGTTCTAGCCACCAGAAAAAAAACAGGAAGCTACAAAGTATTTAATTACTAAATAGTCCAGCTTGTCAGAACACAGATACAGAGACCTCTATTTAAAAACCCACTAATATAAAAAAAGTTTTTCTGTAATTTGACCATTACTATCAGCTTCAGCTTTGATAAATAGAAAAGCAAGTTACAATTGCAGAATATATATCGCCCTTACCTCTCCTTTCAAGGAGCTGTAAAGAATCAGGACTGCCACTTACCTTAATGGACAATGCATAGAGATGGTTTAACATTACATGGTTGGGCTCAGGCAGTAAGGCTGGGTCACACTAAGAGAGAGGGAAAAAAATCAGCTAATAGGATTAAATGCAGAGCAAAGCCAAATTGTCAGTGCTTTCTCAAAACACTCTGGGAGAACTAAGAACTCTAAACTGGAAGATTTATCACCTTTAAATAATCTAACCACCCTGTATAATAACACATTCCCATTACAGAAAATTTGGACAATTTTCAGTCCATGGCAGAAACACCAAACCTTAACATCTACTAATGTTCCTTTATAGAACTAAAACAAAACCTTGCCTACAAATATAATGGAAGATTTGTGGTAAGTGGTTAAAGATAACATTAATGGGAATCAATTACAATGATTAGAGATATAAATCATAAGCCAAAAAGAAAATCTGTAATCCTTCTGTATATCCACTACGTGTCTTGAGTTGGCAAAAAAGTAGTACATACTGGTTGTAGCATAGCTTGAGCTTGATTTCACAAGGAACAGAGACAACTATAAATTGTGACATCAGCTTTGTAAGTCAAAACTCAAGTCTTGGAAAAAGGAATCTTTGAGTATAGTGCTATTGGTTATGTATGCGATTTATAATCTCAACATACCTTTGTAATAATCTCATTCTAAAATTATTGAGTTTTGGCCCAGATGGCCCTAGAAATGCCTACATGCTCAGGATACTCACAGAAATATTAGTGTCCTTGTTAAGAATAACTTGAAGTAGGTGAGGAGGAAGGATGGGTGGGGATTTGAATCTCTCCTCAGATCGAAACACATACATTTCTTGACCATAAGGCCCTGGGGGTGAGCTGGAAAGGTCTGAAAGATATTTATGCAAATATGAAGGAAATGTGGAAAAACGTAACAATACATGGAAAAAGCTATTCATACATGTCTACTAACATCACATAAAGCAGTAGCCACAGATCATAAGCTTGTAGTCTTATCGGATATCCACAAATAGGAAGGTTCCAAAAGTGAAAGTCCAAATCATGCTAGACATAAAACACAAAGCTTCCCAACATGGCAACATGATGCCATGAAGAGATGAGAGGATCAAAGGTCTAACTCAGGGATGAGCTACTCTACTCATCAGCTGCATGACTGGACAAATACCTTCACATGATCAATGTTTTCATCTGTAAAGTAAAAATGAGCACCTTGGTTCTCTTTCACAATGTGTTTGAGGAAACCAAAGAGATAATAGATATTAAGATGCCTTATAAACTTTCAAATAACACGAAAAGGTCACATCTCTTTTCTCTACCTCAGCAACAAATATGGTTATAAGTTCTAAGACAACTGATACTCCAATAACAGCAGCATTAAGGAAAAAATGTAACAGTGGTCATTAGGAAACTGCAAACAAAAACCACAATAAGATACAATTTCTTACTCACTAGGATGGCTATTTCTTACCCACTAGGATGGCTATAATCAAAATAAAGACCAACAAGGACTGAGAAAACTGAAATCTTTATACTACAGTACTGTAACTGCTCCTGGGAATGTAAAACAATAGTCATTTTGGAAAACAGTTTACCAGTTCACCAAAGAGTTAAATACAAAGTTTCCTTATGCCCCAGAAATTACATTCCTGGGTTCATACCCAAGATAAAACATTTATTCACACAAAAAGTTGAACCTGAATGTTCATAACAGCATTATTTATGATAGCCAAGATACAGAAATGATCCAAATGTCTACCCACAATGAACAAATGGTATGTCTATAGCATGGAATTTTATTTAGTCACAAATAAAAGCAAAGTATCAATACAAGTTACAAGATGGATAAAACCTGAAAACTATACTAGTGAAAGAAGCCACATACAAAAGACCACAAATTGTAAAATCCTATTCATATGAAATGTCCACAATAGGCAAACCCACAGACAGAAAGTAGATTTGTGCTTGATGGACAAAAGAAAAGACGTGGGAAGTGACTGTTAATGGGTACAGAGTTTCTTTAGTGGTTGGTAAAAATACTCTGAAATTTTTAAAAGTAACAGTTTTTTGTAGTGACAGTTGTATAACCGTGACTATACTAAAAATTACTGAATTGTACAGCTTACAAGGGTGGATTTTACATTACGTAAATTATATTTCAAAAATATAAAAAAATATACAGACTAGACAGAAATATACAAAAATGAAATTTTTGTTTAAAAATATTCAATAATGTAGCCTGGTATGCTGGTGCATATCTGTAACCCCAGGTTCAGAAGCCTGAGGCAGGAGGATCACCTCAGATTCAAGGCAAGCCAAGGCTGCATAGTGAGTTTAAGGACAGCCTGAACTACACAGTGAGACTTTGTTTCAAAACTAACAAGAAATAAGTAATTACAAAATTTAAAAATTTAATAATGTTTTATCAATTCCACTGGCAATGATTTGAATAACTAGTTCATTTAAAGAACTCAGATTTCAGTTAAATATATATGAAGCAAAAGGAAAATGTAGCAATAATAGTGATATTAAGTAATATCTTAACAGCATACAATTTGAAACTTCTCAAAGCACTTTCAATTATCTTGTCATACAATCCACAAAACAGTTACAAAGTACATAGAACTTTGTATTTTATTTCCTTTTCATTTAAAAAGAAAAACACAAGTTGGTTAAATGATTTGACCAAAATCACACAGTAGCTGTATCTTACTTACATGCACATTAAAACCAGTATCTGTAGATTCCAAATAAAATGTAAGTCTTACCTCAGTGGAATGAAATTGGGTGGAATAGGGAACAGAGAAATATCAAAAGTACACTAGTTTCTCACTATATAATTATGGTGGCCTATTATTTACTGATTATTCTGCCAGAATCATATAATGTAAAAATGTGGTCATTAAGAGGCGACATAATTCAATTCATTATTCTTTCAGAAACTTCATGGGGCTCCTAGTGAGTGCCCTGAGAGTCTTAAGGTACTGTGACTGCAGAGAATCACTAAGTTCAAGATCCTGGTTTTACTGTTAAGGAACCAAAAAGCCAAACGATCCAAGAACTTGTCCATGATAGTAAAACTAGTTAGCAGCTAAAGATAACTTGAACCCAGTATAGAGAAGTCCTTGAGTGTAGAGAAGTATGTTCAGTGGAAATAGTGTATAGTTCTTTAGAGGAGCATATCCCTTACTGTAAAATAATAAAAATAGTAACTATGTTTGGAAGACTATGTGAGGCCTTGTGGACCTTTCCTGGGACAGGAGAGGGAGTGGAAAGCTGTCCCCTCACATGATTATGTGCAGGAATCTTGATAGTCACAATAGCCATGTGGCAGAACAACATCAGCCAAGAGCTAAACAAAGAAAATTACAGATGGGGTGTGAAGTTGTTCCATTCCTCACTAATCATTTAAAGTTGCTTGAAACAGACTGCAGGATTGCTACATTGCCTGTTTACCTATGAAAACAGGAGTTTAGACTCCCAAGGTTCTTGCCCTGTTAAGACAGGAGCTGGTACCCTCGGCTGGAAATTTGTCTCTTTCTCTTTTATTCCTAGTTGTACCCTACAAATCAGTTTGCAGGCTGGCTCCTGCAACTATAAATGTGGTTTGTCAACTACTCTCCTAGTACTATGTAAATATTAGAAAAAAAGAAGGCAAAAACAACAGAATTACAGCAAAGAAAGTTATACAGGTCTCTCTCTCCCTCTCTTCTATCAGTTTTTAAGCAAAAACACACTAATTTTCAATTACATATAAAGGAAATTTGGTTTTTAATTTTTAACCATTTTCCCCCCAAAGAGTATTATACTTGCAGGGTCTCATAAAACTATTAAATTGGCAAATGATCTCTCAAACTGGCAAATGTAAGCTGAGGCAGTTTAAGAAGACAAACCAAACACTTCTAACTGTTGTTGGGTTGATGACACCAAAAGTCAATGAAAAATCTGAAATATTACTAGAAATATTTTTTCAAACTATATAGGCTATAGCCTGTAAGTAGTCTAAAGAAGTTAAAATAGAAAACAGTGAAAAAAAAAAGTACTTCTCTATCACCCTGAGGAAGTCAGGAGTCAACATTCCACCCCGTACAGGAAGAGTCTCTGCTGTTAAGCATGCCTGCTTACTATGTGACTTGCTCCCCCATTTATTCATAATTTAATCAATTTTACCTGAACAATTATCTTATTGGTTGACCATAGTTCTGTCCCACCTTATGCTCACCTTGTAAGTTCCATTTTTTCCCCCATCCTGGACCCAACTAACCTCATGATTTTGCTTTATAAAAGTTCTTAGAAAAGACAGAGTCTTTGGCAACCTGCTTGGACCCCTTCTATCCTTCAGACAGAAGCTTTCTCTCTGTTAATAAATATATTCTGCTCTTAAAAAAAAAAAGAAAGAAAACAGTATATTGAACATTATACCAAGGGACCTGTGTTATGAGTTTGGTGTGTGTGTGTGTGTGTGTGTGTGTGTGTGTGTGTGCGTGTGTAAGGATGGAAAGCAAAACTGACATGAATTCTACAGTTTGAAATAAAATGCACTAGACTAAAATATTTTTGCTGCAAAGAAGGGGACCCAACAGTTTATGGGATATATAAATATACACAGGATTTAGAAGATTCCTAAAAAGAAATGGGAACATAAAACAAAGCTTAAAACACTTTAGGGGAAAGAATATGCTGATATAGGAAGAGAGGGCAAATATTTCAAATTACCTCGACATGATGTCTCAGAGCTTTCCATAGAGTCTAGCTTTAAAGCATCAAATACTTCAAAATCAGATTTCTTGACATGGATCAAATTGTTAATTGTACCAAGCTGACTGGTAACTACAGGCTGAAAGAGTGAATAGAAAAAATCATTGAATCACCTTTTCAAATCTCTCTGAAAGTCACAAAAACATATTCCAGGAAACCAAAGAACTATACAGGTCTTCTATCAAAGAATATTTTAAACCAAAAACTTAACAAAATTTGGATGATATACAAAAGAATTGTAGTTTTACTTTTTAATTAAAGTTAAAAATGATCATAGTCAGCACTGGGGCTGTGGTCCATCAATCCTGATATAAATGATAGCTAAAATGAGGCTGCTAAATCAAAGTCTACCCTCTCTGATGAAGACTTTACCTCTGATGGATCATGAACCCACTGCCCATCCACAAAGAATTTGTACTGGTGTTCTCCCTCGGGGAGGTCCAGGATGGCAACAAAGTCATTATGGCTACAAAAGAAAACAGGTCAAACAAGCTCTTTTTAGAAAACAGAATATGAAAATCATAGTATACCAGTAACCTCTCATATTCCTAAGCCTCTGAATTCTTCATGAAAAAATAATGTGTAAACCCATTCTCCTTTCTATACCACCTTGGACATATACTTGGCAATACCTCCCTGCTCCTGCAATAACTTGTTTTAACCAGTATCTGGTAAAAAATAAAGTCATTGATTCCTTAATGCAACACCTTAGTACAGATATTTTTGATTATTTATAAGTATAAATAAAGTAACAGGTAGGTTTAGGATACAAAAATGTTTCACAGTATTCTGTGAGATTTTTCTAGAAAATGACTCACCATACAAAGGACCATTCTAGGGCCAGGGATTTAGCTCAGGGGCATACGCACCTGCCTGGCAAGTGCAAGGTCATGAGTTTGATTTCCAGTACAAAGGGGAAAAAAAGCAAAGGATCATTCTGATAATGGGTAAATAGCTCATTATTGCTTTGCAAAACAACGGTGGCAACAGTAACAACAAAAGCAGGTAATAATACTACAGAGCTGTATCTTACTTTAGTGCAGAAGTCAAAACAATTGAACTCAAGGCACTTATGGAAGACTTCTTGCTTGCAAATGCAGAAAAGATTTGTGTGACATTCTCCAAAAGAATGTATCTACAAAGTGTTACAAATGGCCTTGAGGCAATAAGTCTAAGTAGTAAAACATCCCTGACTTAAGGGAATAAAAAATAAGGCCACAAATACAGTTAGTAAAACCAGAAAGGGGCATGTCCTTTGGAGAGCTCTTAGTAGGTAGAGCCAGGTTTGCATTCTAAAGGAAGTTAGCTCCCAGACCCTGTAGACTCAACACGACATAAGTCTTCACCTCTTAATCAGTGGAATTTTGGTGCTCCAATTGTTGAAGGACCCAGAGATGAACACTTCCTTGCCCCCTTCAGACCAGCGGATAACAGTAGGCCGGGCCTGCTGTGTAGGCTTTACAGAGTCATCCAAATCCTGCTGCCATGATACAAAGTCTTTGTCTCCAGGTAGCTGTAAGAAGGAGTAGGTCATCCCTAGAATAAATTGTGACCCAAGAATTCTTCAAAGGTTACTCTCCTTCCTAGGGTAAGGAGGGGTATTAGGTTTTTAAAGCTTTTAAGATTTAATATTAGCAATTAAATCAGATTTTGAACAAACTACAGAAAAAAGTCTTTGCTGGGAAGTTTAGGCTGGACACTTGGCAGGTGCTGCCTTTGAAGAAAAACAATTACCCCACTTATGGCAGAGATTTTGCACTTAGTAACTTATTGGCTTCCCAGCAGACTACAAACTGTGACGAAAGGTGTGGAATCTTTCATTGGTACAGACAGGATTCATCACAAATTTCCAAATCAACAATTCCAGATAACGTTTCAGCCTTCACCTGAAAAGCTATAAAAATCATGAAGAATATGATGGGGATCCACGGCTCCCTCATAAACTTTATACTGTTACTAGAAGAAAAAGTACAAACAGATGTCCAAATTGATAAAAACATGCAATATAGATAAAAACATCCAAAAAGCACATGTTCCTCAAGCTTACCCTGTCCCTTCAGTGAATACAAAACTAAAACAGTGCAGCATTTGCTAGGAATAAACCACTGTTTGCTCCAGCACTTCCTATCCCTGTCTCCGGTCCACTTCAAACGGACAGCGGAGCCCACAGGTGCTACATGAGTTCTCTGGGATTGCTGAACACTAGTACTCCACGAGGTTATGTTGGGAACAACACTGCCCCATTTTGTGGCCTGCTGAGTCTGTTTTTTGGTTTGAGACAGGATCTCACTATGCCTTCATGCAGTTCAGATGTTGCAGGAAAATTCCTAAGCTACGCCACACTGAATGGAAGACTGTAAGGAGGAGACAAGAAGGCAACATTTAATTTTTAGAGTGGCAAACTGTTGTGGGATAATTCCACAAAGGCAACAGTGCTGAGTTTATAGAGCTTAGTTTATATAGCACTTAGAAGTAGGAAGTACAAAGCCGGTAAGAAGAGCTATGTAACCCTTTACATGCATTGAGTTACACACTGACAGATAGCTAGTCTTAAACAGAGTTGTTGAAACAAAGTAACGGTTTATTATAATACAAACAATCCAGGAACAAAGGAAGGGGTCTTTTACAGAGTGAGCACAGTGAAAGATGCCCTTGAATTAGCCCAGGATGCCTTAAGGTATACAAAAGTTACTCTGACTCAGTGCTCCTCAGAGGAATGCAGTTGGGCTCTAGAAACCATGAAGATCAATTAAATTCAGCAGAAAGGACAGACTGAAACGTGGTCAGAGACCTCTAATTATCATGAAATACCTGTAAGTTTGCTATTTTATATAACTGCGCTTATAATTGTGCCGCGACACAGGCTGGCCTTGAACTCACTATGTTGACCAGGCTGGTCTTGAACTAACAGTGATCCTCCTGCCTCAGCTTCCCAAGTGTCAGGATACAGGTGTGTGCCACCATGCCTTGGTTTTGCTTTTTGAGACAGCATCTCAGTATATAGTTCAGGTTGTCCTTAAACTCACTATGTAGCCTACCCTGGCCTCAAACTTATAGCAATCCTCCTGCATGTATGACAGAAAATGGCAAAAACAAGAGCAAAAAGGAGGAACACGGAGAGAAGACTCTTTCTGTCCCTTATATTGTATGTAGGGCACACCCACTTGGTTGTAGCACCCACACCCATAATCCCAGCATTGGATCATGAGTCATTCACAAACTCTAGAAGGCCACCTCCTTGATTGCATAAGCCTTTGTGGGACCCTCCAGACTCAAGTCATAATAGACACAAAATCTAAAATATTTACTGTCTGGTCTATACAGAAAAGTTTGCTAACCCCTGCTTTAGATAGCTTAAGTGACTGGTAAATAGGTTTAAAAAAAAAGACTATACAATATTAAGTCAAAATAGTATGCAATAAAATCATGTGAATTGGGGCTGGAGGTTTAGCTCAGCGGCATAAGTGCCTGCCTTGCAAGCAGGCAGTAGTGAGTTCGATCCCCAGTACCAATAAAAAGAAAAAAGACAAAAAAAAAAAAAAAAAATCATTGTGAATTAAAAGAAACAAAGGCTAGCTTATTTGGGTTCCCTTTTGCCAAAATGGAAGTCTACCTTCTATACAGTCTCCCAATATTCCTCAAAGCTTCCATATGAAAAAATAAAAACACACACCAAAGTAAATGTAGAAAAAATACTGAAAAGATATTTACAAGGAACTAGCTTAAGAGAAAACCTCAGTCTCCAAACAATCACAGCAGTACACTCTGGCTGACTGGCTGTACCAGAATTATAGGAACATATGCCTAAGAATAATCCTAATATTCTGATTCAGATATAGGATCTGGGAAACAAAAAGCTTCCTAGACAATTTGATCGCGCTAAAACAAACTCATCTTTTAAAATACATCCTAAAATGGGCCTGGGATTTAGCTCACCAGCATACATACCTGCCTGGCAAGCGCAAGTCGTGAGTTCAATCCCTGGTACAAATAAATAAATAAAGTATATCCTAAAATGTTATAGATCATACTTGTTACATTATCTGGAATTTTTTTCAAAAGAATTGGTTGGGGGACAATGGGTTGAAAACAGATGGCAAGTATTCATACATGATTAGATTACTGTTTCAACTGGGTGATAGTTACAGAGAATTCACTATATTGTTCTTCCCTATTTTGCAAATGTTTCAAATTTTCCATAAACTATCAAAATAAACCTTGGGTGATTCCAATACACAAACAGAATTGAGAACCACGGAATCAATGTGCTGAAAAAAGGCTGTAACTCAAAGCAACACAGACCCCACCGCCACTTGTTTCTTTCCATCAATTACTTTTTAAGACAAGATTTTCAGTTTAGAATTTAAAAGCTATGAACTATTAATATGCCTAGCTTTGGAACAAAGCCCTTCCACTTCTGACATGACATTTCTGTGGCAGGAATGAATACAGCTGACTAACAGAATGATTGTTTACTCCAAGTTAAACAGTCAGGAAAAGCACCAGGAAAAGAGGCAAAAGAACAATTAAAATTATAGTTTGAATATGTTTAAGAGGAGAGAAAAAGATAAAGAACTATAAAATTTTAGATTTGTATGACACGTCAGCAATTAGCTGAAGCAATTCCCTTACTTTACTAATGGTAAGATAAGAGGTGAAGAAAGAAATGATTCACAACAGACCCAGATTCCCACAGTGACCTTGCTCTTATTCAGTACACCAAATACTGCTGTCACATACTGATAAATACATTGTTCCTAAATCCTGAGTCATCAGTGTAGGAAAAGGGTAAAAATACAATGAGGACGAACATCTCGAGAAAGTGTTGAAGTAAATTCTGATGGCTGGGCAATAAGCTCAAAAGACAAGGAAGCCTTCAAATGGGAAAGGAATGAAAGCAGTGGAGAAGAAACACCTAGAAAATGTCTTTTCAGTCACTGTCACTACTCCTTCTGTAATGACACTCACTTAGGATCCAAGGAAATAAACCATAGAATTCAAATTTCACGGGCTACCAATGTAGTAAATAAAACTCCATTTATTCTCTGAACCCCCAGTTCAGTGGGAAAATGATGAAATATAAAAACTCAACCCCAACCTCCTCCCTCCCTCCATTTTCCCATTCCATTCTAGATAAGGCTCCTTGAAGCAATTAAATGTATTTAATGTTGACATTTCTAAAACTGATTACAAATGCTACAATGGTAATCACATTGCTGTCAGCTCCACTGGTTTTCTATAGGGGTAAACAAAAATTTCCTGTTCCTGAAAGTTGCTGGAATTGAAATCACTCTACAAAACACAGTTGTGGGTTGTCATTTTCAGCCTCAAACAACATTTTGAAGTCCTAAACAGGGGTGGAGAAATCTGGAGTGACCAGCTCACCTACTGAAGGAGCAGCTGGGAGTGAAAGCACAGCCTCAGCTACCACAACTACAAAGTATGGGATGAAAACTGAGCTGTCAACCAAATGGTGACTTTTACTGATGCTCAAGACTAAGGAAAAATATTCAAATAAGCAAGTGGTGGCTGCTCACTGTAGGTCAAAGGGCAAGGGGGACAAAAGTGCAGAGCTCCTGGAACAGTACAAATACATAGACATTTTCAGAAAAACAAATTCATTTTGAGGTAGAATAGAAAGAAAAGATTCGTAAAGAGGTGACAAGGAAAGTCATTTTTAAATTGTACTTTTAAGAAAAACTGCAAGTTCAGAACACAAATCCAGTCTAAAAAACCCACAAAGTTCTTAAAGACGTTTAAACCTGGGCCTTTCATTCCTATTTATATGCAAGAGGGCTTTGGACATTCCTTTTTACTTGCAAATGCACCTCTTACTATTTTTTTATTTGTCAAATGATTTTTCCCCATCACTGGGGATGCTGTCACCTGCCAATGGGCCATCAACCCCTCAATAGAAGACCCTGCCTTTCATCGCCTCTTCTTACACATTTACAGGTTCCTCAGATTATATCTCAAAGACTCCATAAATATATCCAGCCCTAGACTGATGCATCTCTCTCTTGAAGGCTTGCCCTCCATTTCTTCGTGATTGTACTTTTAAAATTCTCATAAATCCTTTCATGCCACTTAAGAGTCCGAAAACTTCTTTTTCCGCCACAAGAGTTAGCGAATTGACCCCACCTACAGGTAGTATGTTTCGGCTCCTTATTTCGACTTTGAGAACCTCCTCATACTGATTCGGGGTCAATTTTAGCTGCCTCAAGGCAAATGTGAGAAACTGACGAGGTAGAGTCGGCTGCTCAAACAATCTAGCTTCACAAGTTTTCTACCCAGGGTTACAACCTACAAATTGAGCTACCCTGTAGAAGAGGACCCCTAGGAGAACCTAGGATGTGGCGGTGGTATCTACTCTCCCTGTACTAAACTAAAGATGTAATTTAAAGGTTGGTCAGAACTCCAGGAAAACAAGAATATTTCTTCTCTGTCGTATTTTGAGGCAGTACCACATGAATAATTTATCATCCAACCGCATCCATCCCTGGGAAATCCTAACCCAGTTTAGCGCAAAGAAACAGATCCCGGGTAGGGAGGCGGAGCAGGACGCCAGGCGCCGCTGCACCGCCACCGCGGACTAGGGTTGACGGGGGCGCCTACCTTGGAGTCCGGCAGGCTGAAGACACTGGGGTCGTCGGTACTCCCCACCATGATCTTGTGCTCCTTGCCCGGGGCATGGCTGCCGGCACCCTCGGAGCGCGCAGCCTTGGCGCCGTGGCGCTCCCCGGACACCCGGTCGCTGGTGGTGTTTCCCATGGCTGCGGGGGGAGCCTAGAGCCACCTGCCGCGAGGAACACCCCGGCTGCGTCAGGGACGCCTCGGCCCCGCCCCTACGCCTGGGGACCCGGAGGGAATCCCCGCCCAGGAAGCCGGGCCCAGGTCCAGTCCCACCTGGCCTGCAGGGTCGCCCGCGAGCCCCCGCGGTACCTCAACCCCCGCGGGAAACCCGCGCTCCGGAAGCCCGGTACCCCCCGCCCGCGTCCTGCTCACGTCCGACGGAGCGCTGCCTGCTCCCTGCGCCGCGGGCTCGATGGCTGATCTAAACACGGCCACTAATAAAGTTATTGAAATTGAAGCGGCGCCCTCAGCCGGTGATCTGGGTTTCCTCCTAAAATGGATAAGGCCTGGACGCGGGGTCCGCCCAGCGCGCGCGCTACTGCGGCCCTCCCGCCTCTCTAGCCTCCGTGGCCGCCGCCTCGGTGGTGAGCGCGCGCAGCCTCCGGCGCTCGGGCAGGCGCCGCCCAGAGAGGAGGGCACGCGGCTCGGCTGGGCTCGGCTCAGCTCGGCACGGCCGGAAAGTACGGGGATCCCCGGCGCGTCTCGCGGCCTCGGCTGCCCTCCGCCCCTAGGAGAAGCGCCCCATTCGGAGCGGAGGTCCCTGGGTAGTTCCCGCGGAAACGCGAAAACGGACTTGCAACTCCAGGCAGAGGGAACAAGCAACCAAAGCTGGGTGTTAAAGCTTTGCGTAGCGAGGAACCCCGGCTAGTGTCCCCCTGAGTGGAGTTCTAGGAGAAAATTCAAGATGGGGTGTATATGAGACAGACCCTGCTAGACAAATTAGTGAAATGTTACTACCCGGAGAAGAACGTTGTTCAAGACTAAGAATTCGCTTATGCAGTCGCCGACTTCAAAAGCAGATTCAACAAACTGCAACAGGGCCAGGGGTTTAGCTCAGAGGCATTAGTGCCTGCTTGGTAAAGGCGAGGTCTTAAGTTCGATTCCTGACACCAAAAAAAAAAAAAAAAAAAAAAAAAAAAGAAAGAAAAGTAAAAGAGAAACTGTGCAACAATACCCATAGGTATAGAAAGGGCAAAGATAATTCTGGATTTGGAGGAATCAGGGATTTTATGATTATTGGTGGGACTTCTAAGAGAGTTACAATTTTTTACTCTGCATTAAATACTTGTTTACTTGAAACCTTTGTGGCTCCGCGGGTTATATACAGACCAATGCATTCCTAACGCCTGGAAATTTGTTAGAAATGCAGAATCTGAGAATCATAATTTGTATTTTAACCAGATGATATGAAAGTGAAAAGCATGACAACAGGTCCATATTTAATTCCTTCTCATATTCTGTCCACAGTACCCAGCATTTGGGACTCTGGGGCAGGAAGACTGATATGAATTTAAGGCCAGCCTGGGCTAACAGTAAGTTCAAGGCCAGCCTAGAATACGTAGTGAGACCCTGTCTCAATTAAATAAGTAGAATCTTCGCTAAATGGGGATTAATAGGACAAATAAATGCAATGTTCACTAAATAAAAAGGAGTAAACAAATCTAGCTACAAGAAAGATGATGAGGACTTCAGAATGGTATAGAGGAATGAAACTCTTGACTGGTACGAGTTTGTGTTTTTTGAAATTAAAGAATGGGGCCAGGGATTTAGCTCAGTGGCAAACGCAAGGTCTTGAGTTTGATCCCTGGCACACACACACACACACACACAAAATTAAAATCAAAGAATGAATTTTAGGAACAATGGAGGTTAAGAGCAGAATATATTTATTGAGAGAAAGCAAGCTTTTTGTCTGAGAGAGACAGAAGGGGTCCCTAGCTGGGTGCCCAAGACTGTCTTTTCTAGGGACTTTTATAGAGTAAAGTCACAGGGTGAGATAGGTTTAAGGTGGGGAAAACTGGGAACTCACAAGGCAGATGGGCGTAAGGTGGGATAGATCTGTGGTTAGCCAATAAGATTAATTGCTCACGTAAAATTGATCAAATCCAGGACAAATGGGGAAGTGAGTCAAGTAGAAAATGGGTATTCGTACAGAGCAATGACTTTTCCCTAAGGGGTTAGGATGGTGACTCCTAGAGGTGATGGGGAACTATTTAGAATATCAGTCCTTAGGCTATGGATACATTTGTTTGATCTTCTGTCTTGAGGCCTGGCCAACAGCAAGAAGTGTCTGTCTGCCCCACACTTGTAAGATATTTGGGCTTCTTCACTGGCTCCTTTGAGGACCTAGCCCTGTCTCACTGCCTATAATATTTTTTAATTAACTCAGCTACCTATAACAAGAGGAGCTGGGAAATTTGAGAAAGCAAAGAGAAGTGTTGAGGGTCTACTCAGCATAAAGACCAAGAAAGACATATGTCCCACTTTCTTTGCCTTGTTAAGATCCTGAATTTCTAATCCTATGTTTAATAGAAGAAATAATCTACAGACTGCCACTTGTGTTTCAGATCATAAGTGAAATTAGTGATATTATACTGATTCAAATCATGAAACAGATCAATGGTCAAATCCAGAATATTTTTTGAAGAACATGTTTGCCATGCAGATGTTTCAAAATGTTAAACATGCCTTAATGTCCTCAGTCATATTTTATGAAAGTATTCACTATTTGATTTAATCCTTTAAAAATTCATCATGCGTGGCATGGTGGTGCATGCCTGTTATCCCAGCACTAGGGAGGCTGAAGGAGGAGGACTGCAGTGAGTTTGAGGCCAGCCTGAAGTACATAGTGAGCTCAAGCCCAGCCTGAATAAACAGTGAGATCCTGCCTCAAATAAATAAATAAACATTCAATAATGTTTCTATACAAGTATATCTATTCAATTAATTATTGATTTGCTGGGGTCTTACTACATTTCAGGCACTATATGAGGAACTTATCTGCCTCCAAGGAGTTTATTCAAAGAGGAAACATAAAGGGGCCGTGTTGTTATTATACTGTGTAATAGGGATATTGATCACATATAATTGAGGAATACTTAGGAGTAATGAAAGTACAAACAAAGATCACCTAGTTCATTGTGGGGATCAGGAAGCTAATTCTGGAAGAAGTAACAGATGAACTAATCTTGAAGATGATGTATTATCCATCAGGCAGGGGGAGAATTTACTAAGAGAGTACAGCATAAGACTAAAATGGGGAAAAATGACACTTTTTGAAATCTCAAGTATACAGGCAGAAGGGCATTTGTATACTGTATTGGTGTTAGCCAAAGTAACAAGGTACAGAGTCAATATTAAATGCAGTGATATTACCGATGTATGTACTTTCCCTTAACATCCATAAATCTTGCTAATAGGGATTACTCATTTAATGTGCTTACTACAAGAAAGAACTTTTCATTTAATGTACTTACTACAAGAAAGAACTTTTCTAAGTGCTTGTAAGAAGTTGTCTTTTCACCTTATATCATCATTCCAATACCCCAAGCCCTGCCACCCCCTCTACAGGTATAGTCTATACTTTTGTAGTGAAAAAAATAACATTCTTTAGTAAGTTATATTACAGGAAGGCAAGACCGAAGAAGGATTGCTCTCAAATACCAATCCTCAGTTCTCTACTTCTCTGTTATGATTTGTGTCTAGATGTATTCCAAATGGATTTTTTTCAGAGGTGGCTGAATATAGAGTATAAGATTGATTCATAGTGTAATGCTGGGGTTAAAGGTGCTAGGGTTAAGAGTGGGTGATTCCTGGATCAGTCCACTAATTGGATTGGCACTGTTCTCATGCCAGTAGACTGGATACAATATGAAGGACAGAAAGAGGTTTGTTGCATATTGTTGCTTTTGCTGTCTTCTGCCAACATGAACTGTTGCCCCTCTGTCATTTTCCCCCTGCCCTGGAGCCAGCTGATTATGGACTGAAACCTTAACAAGCTGTGAGAGAAATCAACCTTTCCCCCTTTAACTTTGGATTTTGAGTATTTTGTCCCAGCAACAAGAGAAAAGTAACTAAGACATTCTCAAAAAATAAACTGGGTGAAATGGTGGCAGTTGTCCAAATATTTATTAATATGATTAGAAAGAACTTTTAGTTCTCATATTTGTAGTTCTTTTAAATATATATTAGTTTAATGTTCTTTCACTTGTTCAAATTTATTTTGGTGGTTAAGTAGTTGGTAGCATTACAAAAACTTACAAACATTACACAACAGCTATTTATGAACACCTGATGGTGCTTCCAGTTCCTTTCTTCATGGGGCTCAATGTGCCTGGTCACTGACTTTTAGCCCACTTCTCCATGAAAAAGAAGATAGCAAAATTTTACAGATGAGAAAACAGAATCAGGCAGTAGTACTGGGATGTTTTTTATTTCATTACACTGTGTAAGCAGAATACTCTTATATTGAGTTAGTATCTTATATTGAGTTAGTTATGTTGACTTAGTTAAATCCTAATTTAAGATGTAAATGACCCCTTTGAATTTTTTTTAGGCTCTATTTATAGGAAAAAGAGAAAGAGTTGGGGGAGAGAAGTCACATTAATAGCTCACACCACCAAGGGTTAGCAGCCACTTACTTTGTAAACTAATGTCTTGCTGGATCCTAATGGGGGAACTAAGATTTTAAAAAAAGATAGGACAGCCAATTTAAAATTTTCATATATCTCAGCCAAGTAGAATTTATTGATAATGCTAAATTATTCAACTGATCTATCCAGCCAGAAGTGGAAAGTATATTATTTGTTAAGAAAAGAGACACATTCCTTAAGGAAAAGGAATAAAACTTGCCAATTACCAGGTACATTAATGAATAGGAAATAGAATGTCTTGTGTATCTATATGTCTTATCCATATGACCATTGTAAGACCAATACTTTACTTCTTATATATCTCAGAAAATATACATTTATTTATAGTATTAGAATCAAACAAAATTGAGCTCCTAATACCAAACCTATCAGAATAAGAATTACACAATAATTTCTTAGAGATGCTGATCATAATATTTAATAATAAGAAGAAAAAGTGATCAAGAGAGGAATGGAAAGTTCATTCAAATAAACCTGTAATTTCATTGTAGGAAAAAAAAGCTTTTGAAAGATAAAAGAATTTGGGGCAATATGACAGTGAGAGTTACTGAATTTTTTCAAGTTCTAAAGGCATCTCTAGATCAAGCTTCCCACTGAAATTCAGGGCATTGACAATGGGATATCTAAGCATAAGCCATAATTATGGCAAAGAAAACAACAGCTAGCATGAAACAGCCAGTTGTTACTGCTGAAACCATGGAATTGCTCTTTTCAGTTTCTCTTGTATTCAGAGGCTTCCTGATACGATCATATGTGGTTAAGATAGCCTTCCGAGCTCCATGCCACTTTCCAGGGCCCTGTAGGCGATAGTGGATTGGAGTACAGGGTCCAAAGAATAACTTTAAGGCCAGCTTGGGATCAGTGAAGGCCAGAGACAGTAGATTGGGCTTGACACCCACAAACTCAGCAATCTCTTCCATTGTCTGTATGTAGTCTCCCTGTATAGTATGGCGTTGGCTGTCCACATACCTGAAGAAGATAAAAGCCATGACTTACAACATTCAATCAACTAGTCATCCATCAATCAATACTTTCTGAATGCCTACTATTCGCTTGATACTGGGCTAGGCATTGTGAAAAGTGGTGAAGAAAGATAAGACATTGTCACCATCCTTAGATTTTTCTGATTGATTAGAGGAAACAGGACCCATATACACAAAACAAAGAAAGCTTTTGTGGTTTTTGACTGCTAAATAGAAATGTAGAGAGAAGATAGTTAAAAAAGGAACATCAGTGCTTCCTATGGCTGCACATATACTAAAAAAGGGATATCATGTTAGGTCCTTGAAGGATGTGAAAGTAACAAATTGTATGAGCCATGGAGCAAAGGAATAATGTAGGAGTGGCACAGAATATATGCATGGAATGTTGGTGGGCATAGTCTACAGTAATGTAAAATAAGAATGTATATAGAGACAGGAATAGCTCACCCAGATCCAGAGAACTCTCGGGAAAGAAAACTCACAACAGAAATTCGTAAGCATGGGACTCTTACTATTTTATGAGTGCAATGGTAGTGGGCTCTAAGTGACAGTATTAGGCAGCTAAGTTAGAAATTAGTATACAGTCAGTGAGAGACTAGACGCTCAAGGAGATCAGTAAAAACTAAAGACATCAAAATTGTGACTGGAGGTGCATCTAACGAAGACCAGGCCTCAAGATAAAGATGCAATAGCCAGGCCCACATGCCTCCTAAGGGAAAACAATCACATCAGGTTATATTATAATTAGCACTACCTGGTCCAGTTAAGTCTAGTTAGGTGTCAGCTGCCCAGGTGGATAACTATAGAGTATATGGCTTCTTTCTTTCCTAAAAATGTCTTTGCTGTTTCCATATATGCTTGCTACATGACTCATTTTCCTATTGAATCAATATTAGCTAAGCACTACACTTATAACTGCTTAACAGTTTGCCCCAGTGTTATTCATATAATACGTTTGTTTATATACTGAATATACTGAGTTGCTCAGGCAGGTGTCATTTCAACAAGTCAATTCTTGTTTGCCTGAGATGTACTCATATCTGTTTATTTGTTCTATATGACTATTTTTGCATTTTTAAAATTTAGAACATTGCATTTGCCTTTGATGTTTGTTTCTAGTAAAATCTAGTAAGGTGTAGTTATTTTCTTTTTCTAATTTATGTTTATTTTACTTGTAAAAAATAACCTATAATTTTGTGCTAGTGTATAAAAATTCTTATTGTAAAAGTTAAATATAACTTTTATACTTTTCCAGAAGTCAATGATATTCTTTTATAATACAAAACAGATGTGTTTAGGACCTGGGACTAACTAGGAAGGAAGTACCAAAAGTATGTAAAAGAAAAATTGCAAAAGAAAGGAATGAAATTTCTGTTATGTGAACATTTCTTCCTTTTTCAATTTTTCAATTGAAATTTCTGTTATGAAATTGAAATACAAATACAACTCCTTTTTGTCAACTGTTCATAATACAAAAATGACAGAACTTGAAAGAAGAAACAAAACTTTAAAAATTCCAATAGTGGTCAATTATTATAATAATTCGAAGGGTGAAGTTGACAAAGCTGACCACATCTGTAATAAAAAAATAACAAGGAAAAAACATTATTATGAAACATGTATACACTTTCTGAACCAAATAATATGGAATGCATGTGTTACTTATTCAAAACAAGGGGATTTAAAAAGTCATTTAGAATTTAGATTAGGCATAATAGACCAAATAATTGAAAAATATCAGATAGCAAAACACCAACGAAGACATTCTTCATTGATGTCTCTACCATGATGCTTAGTGAGTAGATGTTTGATTGAAATTATATCACCCACTGAAAAAAAGGAAAGGCCAGCATGACAGCATGTTTTTCAAAGAAAGACAATAATGCAAAAAGAATTCAGAAAGAGACTAGCAGCTATTACTCAGATTGTAACACTGCATTGTGCATTGAGTATTTTAAAATATACCATACACAGAAAACCTGTTGAATAAATTTAACAGAATTACTTTTAATAAATTATTTTTATATTTCCTATTATAAAAATTAATGAGAAAATGTACAATCATTGGTCAATCTGTATTTAAATAATTGGGCTGAATAATCCTACAGGTTGATTATATTTTGTGCCATATTGTGCTCACATTGTGATTTAGTGATATAAATGGCCTCTGATAAAGGGCAACCCACTTTGGGAACCCCTCCTGTCATGTAAGAGCTATCTCTCAATAAATCTTTCCCTACTGTTAACCTCCACTGTCCCTTAAAATTCATTCTTTGATATTCAGGAGACTAAAACTACACATCTGAGATCTAGCAGGTTGGGAGTTATATTTCTCCTATATGAGCAGGACTTCCCAGGGCCAAGATTAATTTGGATCCTGACAGGATAAGAAAAGGTGGCTTATCAACAAGAAATGGCCCTCCAGATGCACTAATTATACCAAGTACAGGTTTGAAGAGCTGAAAAGTCTTTTAGAGGAAAAACGTGATAAGCAGTGAAATGTGAAAGATTTACAGAAACAGAGGCTTTCACTTTTCACTTTCTACCATGAAAATGAACAGTGACATATAAAGAAAGTTGAGAAAAATGTCAAGATAGTTGAGACTGAAGAATCCAAAGACAAGGACAGGAAAACATGATAGGAAGTAAATTTGAGGTAAAACTAGTAAGACCATATTCCAGAGGAATTGATAGATTCCTGTGAAATGGGACTAAAATTTAGAAAAAAAACGTAAGCTAGGAATGAATTTAAGAGCCTTCCTTTCTGGAGATTATTTGCCTCAAGGGTTTGTAGAGTTGCATTCATTTTTTCTATAGGAGTAGGTCAGGAGCTGTAGTATTTGGAAGGTTTCATAAAAGGTTCATTAGTTACTGACTTGAAGGGACGACAGGAGGGAGGATTATGTAAACTCCATGCATATGAAACACTGAATGTATGCATAACCAACTCTCAATAACAGTAAAATTCTGCCCTTGGGAATTGCTCACAGAAAGTGGTTAGACATAAATAAACCAATTCTGAGAGCAGGAGAGTTGAAATAAGATGGAGCAGTGCCAGAAAAGAAAGGAAAGAAAGCACTCAAATAAGAAATAACTTCAATCAGGAAGGGGTGCCAACCTCAGCAGGGAGAAGAGCAAGTGGATGGTCTTTCAGAGAACAGTTTAAGTAAGAAGGGGAGTAACCATGCAGGGACTCAGGAAGCAGCAGAATTAAACTTGAGAACATAGGATAAAGAAACTCCCCTGTAGCTGTGAGTTTTTGTTTCGTTTCTTTTTGCTTGTTTGATTGTTTTTTGAGACAGGGACTTACTATGTAGCTCAGGCTGGCCTTGCATTCCTGCATAGCCCAGGCTGGCCCCAAATTTGTGGTAACTCTATGTTAGTTTACAGGTGTGTGTCACCAAACCAGCTATGGTAGAAGTTTGACAGTAAAAGGAAGGAAGAAAATAGAACACTTGACCAGGGTAATGGTTAAATAAAGCTTTCTCTTCCCTTAAGATAGGAGAGAATTATGCTAATATGTATAATCAATTCAGCTTCCACTTTGTCCAAATAAAAACTGCCAGGAACAGATCTCAAGTTGTGAAATTCAGATCACTAAATTAATGTGTTCATCAAAGCACTAAGTAGCTTGCCGATTCTACAATCTTCCCAAATCATGTGACTTTTTTAATGCATAGAGCCACTGTGATCTGAGTTCTGTCCCTAGAAGTCAGCCAGCAAAGTAATCACTGCAGGTTTGTAAATCTACTTATAGATCTAAAATTTAACCATATGTACCTCTCATTTATTCATTGCTATTTTTTCACACTCTGGTGGCTCTACTAGCACTTTAAATAATCCTTCTCAAATAATATACGTGATTTTCTCGTTTTCTCTCCATGTATTTTTCCCCTACTTGACTTTTCTTATATGCCCTAAATATAGGATTTTCTCTCTCCTATTGAACTATATACCAAGCCCTTGTAATTTTTTATCTTGAGACAGGGTCTTGCCAAGTTGCTAAACTGTCCAAGCTGGGTCCCAATTTTCAATCTTTTTGCATCAGTCCTTTAAAGTCTTAGTATTAATCTCTTCCCATCCATATGAAATCACAGGTAGCATTCCTCCATTCTGTTGTCACAAGCAATTATTTCCTGTTCCATCAAGATATAATCTAGGGGCTGGGGATTTAGCTCAGCGGCATAAGCGCCTGCCTTGCAAGCAGGCAGTCGTGAGATCGATCCCTGGTACCAATAAAAAGTAAAAAGACAAAAAAAAAAAAGATATAATCTAAATCCTTAAAGTCTCAAGAGAGAACAAAATGTAGTACAATATTGCTCTTATTAAGATGTAAATAGTCAAAATATCTATATTTCTATATATCTATATGTATATATAGATATATATATCTCCAAGGGAATTTCTTACCTTTTTGCTATTTCCTCCTGAGCCTTAGTTATTTCTGCCATCATTTCACTTTGTGAGGGCAATGTCTTTAGTCCTAAAGGGAAAAAATTAAACATTTCAGTGTAAACTAACTTAGTAGAAACAATTATAATCCTATAACATTAATTATGGTATGGAGAATTCAATGAAGTACAGGATAATTTTCTGTACTCAGATTGTAATTCACTTCATTACTTTATCCTACCAACACCAAAATATAATGATACAAGATGAACATCCCTAATCTAAAAATCAGAAATCTGAAATGCTGCAAAATCCAAAAGTCTGAGCTTTGACAAGATAGGTGTCACAGAAAATATCACTGATCTCATCTTATGTAACAAATCGTAGTCAAAACACAGGTACACTAAAACTATTGTAAAAATTACCTGCTGGCTATATATACATGTGTTTATAAAAAAAATTAATTTCACCTACCCCCAAGATATTTTGTTATATATATACAAATTTTCAAAATCTGAAAATACTCTTAAGTTCAAAATTTTTGATCCTATGCATTTCAAATGAGGAACAATCATCTGCATTGTATAGCTTACCCTATTCTTGTCTTTAGAAAATATTTTTGTTCTAGTCTGTCTTCCAACCAGTATTTCTCCCTTACATAATCTTTCAGATGGCAAATGAAATGAGGACTTAAACAAAGGATAAATGACCTTAAAGTAAATGAAAAATGAGGCACAGGGTAATCAAAAGGCAGGGACAGACAGGCATATCCACATAGGTATCTATTAGTAACAAAGAGATGTTTTTTTGGTTTTTGGTACCAGGAATCAAACTCACAACCAGGCAGGCGCTTGTGCCACTGATCTATAATGGCCCCCAAAGAGGTTTTGTTTGATGTTTTGTTTTGTTTGTGGTATAAAGAATTGAATCTGGGGCTTTGCATTGAGCTATATCATCAATCCTTTTTAAAATTATCATTTTGAGATAGAGCCTTGTTAAGTCATTAAGTTGCCCAGGCTAGGCTTAATTTCATGTTCCTTCTCCTTCAGGCTACCAGAGTTCTGGGGTTACAGGTATGTGCCATTATGTCTGGCCATAATGAGGTTTTACACCTCAGAGAGAGAAGGAAATAAAGATGAAGTATCATATTGCATGCTAAAGTATCATCTCCTGCAGAGATAAGCCTCACCCGTTAAATTCTTACTTGATAAGAGCGGGAGTAGCCCAAGGGTAATTCATAATACCGAATCATGACAGATAAATTTAAGCAATGACACAGTTCCAATATAGGAATTTAATACCAAAGACACAGCTAGGAAAAGGCTGAATAGCATTTAAACCAATGTAAACAACTCAGACCATTACCCTTATGCCCAGATAAGACCTGCAGGCACTACACTATCCAGGCCATGTCTCATCCTAAAGTGCTCTGAAACATAGGATTTTAGAGTGGAAATATGTCTTATCTAATACAATATGCATTTCAAGTGATTATCTCATTCTTCCTTAAACATTTCTGGTCATGAGGATCTCATGTCCTTCTGAAGAGCCAGCAACATGTTTGGCTGCTGTATTTGCTGGAACATTATTCCTCATATTGATCTCCAAATTGACTTCTGTACATCTTATACCACTGGACCTCACTGTCTCTCAGAGTAAAAGAGTTTAATTTTTACACTTGACAGGCCTTGAAACATGTGAAAACAACTGTCACACTCCATTAAATCTTCTCATTATCAGGCTATACAGCACATGTACCTTATATAATACAGGTTTCACATTCTCTGCCATCTTGGTTCCCCTCTTCTGGGGATGTTCCAATAACTATCCCATATGCCCCTCTTAACACGCCAGATTCAGAAATTCAACACTCAAAAGTGGCTTCCTGTGTTTTCCCATGAGTTTTTAAAGTTTTAGCCATGGAATTATTATTTATATTTATAAATAAATGAAGAGACCCACAAATGCTTCAATTCAGAGTAATCACAACAAACTATTATTTTGTTTGGATGCTCAAGAAACACATTTTGAGATTGATTTCCAAGTTATTTCTCCTAGTTCCCACAAATTTTACTTTTATTAGCTAGAAATGTTATGAAGAAGGTCTATTTCATTGGCTGGGAGATGTAAGCAATCAATAATAAAAAAAGAAACAACAAATCTGTGTAACTTAGATAAAGATATATATAATATTCTGTAGTGCAATTCTTTCTTAATCCATTAACTCTGTTCTTGAAGTGTTTTCTTGTTCCCTGTTATTAACTTCCTATTTGACCCAATAAGGGTCATGTATATTACAGTACCTCTAGCTCTTTGAAAGAAATTACACAAATATAAACAAACTTATGACCAGTACTTTAGTCACTTACCTTTAAATACTTGAACAGCCCAGCGTCCTTGGAGCTCTGAAATGGGCATAATGGCTCCCAAGGGCTGAATTAAGCCTATGATTGCAAGAGTTGGTCTTTCCAGGTTAGGGGGGAAGACCTTTTTATACAGTGATACTTTGTTTTTCACAACTTTGACAGAATCTTCCAGAAAAGGAAAGTCAAAACTATAGCCCGTGGCAAAGATAACAGCATCAATGTCATCTTCCCTGGAGCCATCCTCAAATATGGCAGCTGTCTCTGTGAACTCTTTCACGTTTCCTTTCACCTTCACCATGCCAGCTATTATACGATTTGGTAGGTCATCATTTACTGTTGGGTGCTGGCTCATTGCTCTGTGAGTGATGATAAAAATGAAGAGAAGAAAAATGAGAAGGACCAAAAGAAAGATGGACAGAGAGAAAGAAATTAGTATCATGTAAGTAAAATTCTGCTTTGGTGGAAATGGTTAAACAGTATGCCCTCATCTATCTATAAAATTTTGGAAAGGTCTGTTTTGTACCAGCATGCCACAGATCAGGGATAGTTTGGATTCTGGGTGGCATTCAAAGGGAGAATCTTGGAGAAATAGAAGAGTCTTATTTAAGGGAGTGAATATGTGGCTTCCCAATTAATAATATTCTTTGGTAAGATAAGGTCATATGCCAATAGTTTCTATCCATATATCAAGAAGTCAGGCAGAATATCAACATTTTTTTTTCAGTCCCATTTCCAGTTCTAACAGGCCCAAGAGGTAGGCTTAGACCATCATTTCCCAAGCTGTGTGATAAACTACATATGTAGAGCAATTTATAGTTTAAAAATTATTTTTTCTTTTTTGAGAGAGCGTCTCATTATATAGTTCAGGTTAGCCTTGAACTCACTACTGTATCCTATGCTAGCTGTGAATTTGTGGCATTTCTCCTGCCTTAGCCTCCTGAGTGCTGGGATTACAGTTGTGCACCACCACACCTGGTTTATCTCACTTTGTGGGTTTCATGGCTGGCCAACATGGAAGTGTATTTAATCACTCTTCCCACTTTTACCTTATAGTCTAGATACACCAGACTATGTTCAGGTCCCAGGGCATTATGCTACATTCCAATCATATATCTCAATCCTATTTGTTTGGCTATCTCTTGTTATTCCACAGAATTTCAATTTATTTTGCAACCATAAAAGATAAAATAATTCACTGAAAGATCATTTGGGAACAAAGTATCCAGTTATTTTTAGGAGAAAAAAATTTTTCTGATTCAAATTTAGCATCATTAATATGAGATAAACTGACATTATATGGTTCCTGATGTGATCTACCAAAAACATACATCACTTATGTAGTACATGTGTCCAAAATGTTGAACCTGAATATAATAAAGGCAAAAGCATTATCTGCATCAAAATTTAGAGACATTCTATAAAGCAATGTCCTTAATTCTTAAGATAAAAGTTCATGTTAAAAGACAGAATGGAGAAGTATTATTTAAGTTTAAGAGAGATTAAGTAGATAGGATAAATAACTGCAATGATGTAATCAATACTTTTTGGAATTCTGGACTTGGAAAAGAAAAAAAAATAAGCTACAAAGAACATTATTGGGACAACTGTGGAAATTCCAAAAGTCAGTATTTTTGTAATATGTTTTATGAATATTAAATTTCCCAAGTGTGATCATTGTATTACAGTTATAGGAGAATGCCCTTTTTCTTAGGTGACATATATGATAAAGTATTTAGGGTCATGTGTCTTAATGACTATAACTTTCTCTGAAAAGCTTTAGAAAGAGGTATGTCCTTAGGTTAAGTATATATGTTTGTAATGTGTGGACATATTTATATTCCCAAAGGGGGGAAGAGAAAAATCAAATAGAGCAAACTGTTATAAGAGGTGAAACCTGATAAAAGGTGTAAGGTTATTCATTGTATTTACTATTGTGTAGTTTTTCTATGGATCTAACATTTTCAGAAATAAAAAGTTGGAGGAAATGATCTACTTCCCTAGTAGTGTGAGGACCCCATCCTATATACTCTCGGTACATTCTATATATCTTTATCATATTCTGTTGTCTTTCTCCTTGCTAGTATATTTAAGGTTTTGGAATCTGCCCTTTACTATTTGTGTTGATGTTGGACAAATTAGTTAGTTTTTCTAAGTCTCAATATTTCACCTGTAAAGTGAACATAAAATTGTTCCAATCTAGAGGGTTGTTGTAAAGAGTAATGAGATATTGCACATAACTCTTTTAATACTATGGCTGTCTTACAGAATATCACCAAAAAAGTAAGGCATCATTACCGTTGTGGTACTACTATAATGGCTCTTCTCTCTATAATTCATGCCCAGAATAAATGCCTGGCTTACAACAGGTACCCAGGATTTATTGGATGAATGGATGAACGAATGAATGAATGAAGGACTTCCTTCTACTACCATTATGTTATTGGACATCATACAAAAAGAACTGATTAATACCTGAGGAAAGAGAAAATGGTCAATGCCTAGGAGAACAACAGACTGAAAGCCTACAGACCAGCAGAACTTGGTCTTCTGCATCTGAGAAGGTAGAAATCTTTTTTGTTTGTTTGATTTGTTTTTTTTGAGACAGGGTCTTGATATGTATTTCAGGCTAGCTTTGAACTCACTAGGTAGCCCAGGCTGGTCTTGAATTCATGGTGATCATCCTGCCTCAGCCTCCCAAGTGCTAGAACTACACACATGTACCACCATGCCTGGCAAAGGTAGAAAGTTTAAGCCATTAAGATGCTATGAGTTTTCTTCTGCATAAATAGAGATAATTGCACTATTAACCTGTGTTAACAGTCCTTATTCTTGTGTTTTTGGTATTAACAACCCCACTCTTGTCCTGAGAGCATACCTGTGTTTAGGCTTCAGGCCAAACATCTCATGGTCAAATCTTTCATTCATTTGTTTTTCCACATATGCATTTGATAATGATTGGCCAAGTATTTTTGACAAAAAATATGTAAACCGAGAAGACAGCAACACATCAGTGGGATATCCGTGTTTTCCTACACGATTCAGAATCCAAGATCCTCTCCTGGTACTCAGAAATACCTGGGGCAGGGAAACATTGTTTGCTTTTGTGACTTTGGCTTATAGTAGTACTTCAAAATCACCCCCACTTTCTTTAAGATTAAGCTCAAATTCAATTGTCTGGCTTTCTAATCCTGTACAATCTTTTTTTTAAATAACTGAAACTTTCCTTTCTTAATATTAAACTTATGATTAAATTGGTATACTCATTGTTCAAGAATATATTGTGCTGTGATCCACCACTGCATATCCATTTTATGTCATTATGCCTGAAACGTCTCTGTCCTCTCAATCCTTTTAAGGGTATTCATGTTTATATCCTGTTTCCTCCACGAGGGTACCACTGACTATACAGGCTGATCATTTTCCTTCCATCCTCTGAACTTAATACTTAAAGAACTCATTAAAAATCATGGAATAGTATAGTTGAAAGCAAATAAACATTATTTAATCCTAAACCCTGTCTTTTTACCATCAACATTGAATTTATTATCAAAACCCCTCTTGTTAATCATTTACATTGATGTGAAACTTTCTATGCTCTTAATTTGTGTCCCTCCAAATGTGTTTTCTTGAGAGTGGGAAGTATAGACTGCACATCTTTTAGTCTCCCTGGTATATCACCATTAGAGATTTGTGGCTTACCCTTTATTCTTCTTTAACCAACACAACAACCTCCTAAGGAAGTCACTGTTTGCCCTATTTTATGGATGAGTGGTACGGAGAGGATGGGTCATGTAGCTTGAGATCATATAGCTATAAGTGGTAAAGCTGAATTTTCAACCATGTCTCAATGACTCCAGAATCTTTGATTAAGAAATATTATATTGATTATCTAATGTAAAAACATTAAAATTAATAGTAGTATTGCAGGAAATTGGTTGGTCTTTCTGTGTCTTCTGTTGGCTAATGTTCATGCTCAGAATTGATTAAGATTTGCTATTGAGTTTCTTAGCAAAATTATCAATTTTTTCTACAATGTGTAGCACTCTAGAAGTGGTTTCCAGAGTTGTAAGGTATGTAAGTATATTGCTTTATAGTTTCCAGAGTTGTAAGGTATATAAGTAGACTGTCTAGCTGTCATGTAAAAAGAGTCCATCTACAGAAGGCATTATTTCACACTTATTGCTCATTGATGGTAACTTTAAGCCCTATCATAATTGTTTTTAATGTCACAGCTGAAACAGCATACATAGTCTTACTAATCAAACAGGTTTTTGTATAGGCCATATAATTTTTGATAAGTAAGGTAAATGCTCAGAGCCTTAATTAATGAATTTCCCATTTATAAAATAGAAATGGTAGCATATACACCACAAGGCTGTTGTAAGAAATATCTTTGTAAAAGATGTGGACATGGTAAACTATGCTTAATGGCAGTCACATTTTTACTTTGGTTTTCCATTTATACCTTCTTTAAAGCAAACAATATATTCAAAAATATGATTTATAAGAAAAAATCATAAGGAAAGTTTATTAAATCAATCTTAGGAGAGAAGGCAGTTTTCTCTTGATAAGAATTATACCAAAATTTCCTTGATACACTGAAATTTGTTAGGTCCATTTAAAAGTGCTGGTCCACAAACAGCTGCTCATAAATGTTATTTAAGATGTAAAGCAAAAAGTTAGATCCCAGCAACTGTGTTTCTTCAGCTGGCATTAGTGGTGCCACAGTGTGGTCCCTGCTATGCAGATAAATTTTGCTATGCATTTGCCGGAGCTTTCTCACACACAGTTGCCTCATTCCCACATACTTTGAATGCTTTGCTCCTGGGAAATCACAGTTCCCCAGTGCAGATAAGGCCCAGCCACCTTATAGCTGACAGTTTACAGGTCAATGATATTAAAAAAAGCTTTTGCATGAGTCTTGACTTCATATTTTTCACATTCTTCTATTGTAACAGCCACACCCATTTCACTCTTTCTTATTTACATAATTACTTTCTAATAAATATTTATGAAATTAATAGAGTAACGTACAAAGTCACTTTGTGCTTATAAGTAGAAATAAAAACTAAGAATAAGTGTTGTTGGGACAGAATTGCTAGGAAAGTGTCATTTAACAAAACTGTGGAATTAAGTTCCTATTTAACAAATAGTAATCTGAAACATTTGTTGAGAAGCACAGCATAATTAAAATCATTGAAGATCAGGCATTTAACTATTGCCAATGAAATTATGATTCAGTTAAGACACAACAAAATACAATAATGACATGTCTTTTTTCTAAGAGTTTACGGTGAAGACACTTTCTTCCCAGCTCAAGATATATGACACACCTGTAATCTCAGCACATAGGAGGTTGAGACAGAAGGATCACTATGACTTTGAGTCCAGCTTGGGATACATAGTGAGTTCAAGAACAGCCTGAACTGCATAGTGAGACCCTGTCTCAAAAAGTCTAAGTGAATGAATGATCTAGGATATGGAAACCAAACCAAACAAACCAAAAAACCAAGGAGATAAAAACTGCTTTAGAGTTGAGATCATACTGTGTTACCTCGTATGCAAGATTTGTGTGAGCTGCTTATATGTGCCACAATGTGGATCTTCTTTACACTGATAGCTACAGTGTCTTTGGAAAGATTATAGCGCTTGTTTTTCCATTTGGGAAGTGAAAGGAAAAATTTATCTTTTGTCTTGTGAATGAAAAGTTTTCAACAATTGCAGTGTGCTTTGCTTTACATAAGAATATGCTTCCTGTTGGCCAACATAAGATGCATACAGAATGCTATATCCCAACAATCTCTCCCAGCAGTTACTTGGTTTGCATTAAAGCCAGAGATTGACTAGGATCATGAGTACAGTCTGCAGCCATGAACTGACTCCTTAGCTTGAAGCCAACTGAATGATGGTACTCTAATTGGTACTTATCATTGTTAACAGTGCTCATGATCTGAGGCAACAAAGCTATGCCTTGTATCTTCCCTTAGCACTGATGGGTTATGTTCAGGTCTTCATGCTGTTTTTTAGATCTACTTCCTTGGTTGTTGACAGTAAAGCTAGAATGAAGCGAAGTAAGTCACTTATCAATCAAACCTGCTTGGCTGTGTGGCTGATTTCTACAGCCAGGTCCCCTCCAGAATTCCCAATGCCAATTATAACAACTCTCTTTCCAGTGAATGCTTCCGGGTTCTTATAGTCTCGACTATGGAAGTACTGTCCTTTGAATTTTTCAATTCCTGAAAGAGAAAGCAATTATTGGGTGATGGTGTATGTGCTGGATCTCATTTATCAAGTCACTGGCTTTCTGGTTTTTTTTTTTCCATTTAATATTTAAGCATTCGCCACATGTTCTCCCTTTATTTATCTATTCTCTTTCTTTTTTTTCTCTCATAGTCTCAGAATAGGACTTTATGATTCCCTTATCATAAGTAGTTTTTGGATTTGCTGGTTCAAAAAGCCAAACTGCTTCAGAAAATTTCTATTCTATTTTTTTCATTCCTTTAAATACCTGTTCCTATTTCAATCAGAATATATATGCATACTCCCAAGTTTCTACAGAGTGCATTTTTTAAAAGATGAAAATATTAACTAAAGACTAAAATTAAATTCTTCAGGCTTTCATTTCATCCTTAGAAATTCAGTACTTCTGTTTTTTCAATTGCTGAAAAATTCCTCATCTGAACCAATGCTCAGCATTTTTTCTTTTGATCTTTAGGAAAACTAGTCATTGTGAAACTAAACATATTAATATGTTGTTTAAAGTATTACATATATCCTTAGAAAGGTATCTTTAATATTATGCAAACATAGAAGTACTTATACAAAACTCGGCAGGTCAAATCAACAGATATAGTAAACAAGACTGTTCTGGTAAAACATGGCACACAGTGTTTTATAGTAAATTTTTTTATAAGTAGCAAGAGAATACTCTAAATTAATGATCAAAAGGCTAGTAAGTAGACCAGTAACATAATTGCTTATTATCAGCATTATATGTTGTACATGTGTTACAATTGTATACGCTGGCAGTACAGGTTTGTATATACCAGCATCACCACAAACACTTCAGTAATGCTTTTTGTTTTGTTTTGTTTTTTTTGTGGTCTGGTGCTGCAACACCTGTGACATCACTAGGCAACGGGAATTTTTCAGCAACATTATAATTATATGGAGTCCCATTTATATGCTGTTCATCATTGACTGAAATGTATCATATCTGTAGATAAATCTCTAATTTTTATTTAACTTCAGAAATGACCATTGTCTCTACCTAAAAGTGGACTCCCACATCTTTAGGGAAGCAAACATAATTAGGGTAAGCCTTCATCTCAAGGTAAGAATCACTCAGAACACAACCCTCTTATTCCTCAGGGACCAGGTTACAGGCATGGTTTGAGGGTCTTTTACACTGATAGAATTCTTACCAGGAAAGCTTTCCAGGGGTAGGTGAGCATTGGTGTGGTGGCCGGTGCAAACCATGACTGCATCAAAAACATCCACCTTCGTTTTCCCTTCATGTTCAGTGACTACCTCCCACTGGCCCGATGTAGAGAAATCAGGCCGCTTCTTTACATTGCACACAGTGGTCTAAAAGGAAAAATGATAGTTACAGGGGACCGGAATTTCATCTCATCCAGTAGACATCTTCTCTGACATGACTCCCTGCAGAACCTTACTCCAAGAGTTCATATCACAGGCACCGTCACATCACAGAGCTCACGCAGAGATATTTGGTTTTTAGATTCCACAAAGAATTGTTTTTTTGAGGGCCTGTGGTCTGAGTAAGAAAATGTCTACGAGGCAAACTATGAGGCAAGAAAATGTCTTCTCTGCTTCTAGAAAAGTGCAAGTTGCTAGACTATGCACTGTCATTGCAACGTCTAAATCAGGCCTAGGTGTCTTCTGTGCTTTGGTGACAGCCTGTGCACTGAATGCTTGCTCCTCCCCTAACCTCAGACATAACCAGGCTTCCTGCCTTCCTCTTACTCTGAGTAGCCCTAAAAATGTGATATTGGGCTCCTGTCACTGCTAGTGTTCAAAAACTTCTCAGTAGCTCTCATTTTACATAAAGGAATCTTTCTTCGGCTTTCATAAATGCCTATTTCATAAGTAACTATAAAGAAAGAAGCTGTGATATGGCATAGTCAGTGATATAAATTTAAAATTAATAAACAGGGGTTACTCTACTCAGCTTAAAGAAACACCCAGAATATATTCCTATGTGGCCTAATAGAGATACTACCCATCCTGTGCTAATTACAGCTCCTTTTGGTTATGTGATTTGATATAGCTGGTGCTTCTCCTTGGATCACCTTTTTATTCCTTCTCCACTTACCAGATTTCCTATTCATCTTCAAGGCTTACCATGGGTATTATCTCCTAACTTTACTGCAGCCTGATGCCTCATGTCCTCAGAGTTAACCACACCTCCTGTTAGCTGCAATGTGTAGACCTCTTGTGCTTACCATCCTTTAACCCTATTGTTATTGATTACGTATATAATACATTTTCCTTTATTTTTATTTCTTCCTAACTAGATTGCACAGTTACTAATTTAGTGGGGAGGGGTCTTCCATCTTCCTGGCTTACTACAGTAACAAACTTTTTCAATAAGTCTTGCTGAAACAAGTGAACAAAAGTACCACTCCACTGTAAATAACTGACATTGGAAGGCACCATAGTCATAAGGCAGAAGGTTTGAGCTGTTTGCCCACTATCCTAAATCTCTGTTCTTTTATGGCCATGGTTATAAGTTATATAAAAATCATGGAAGATTGTAGAGCAGTGGTGCATTATTGTATTTTTATTTTGCAATGAAAGATGTTAATGTAGTTTTTTCTAACCTGAAGCCTCAGTATTCAGGTTCAATTGTAGTGCTGGCACTTTGTGATAAATAAGTGGGTTTTAGTCTCTACAAGTTTCACCATCTCTGCTTTACAGCATGAAGAAATCAAGAGTAAACTAATACAATCATTTTGTTTTTTAAATAGGACATTAAGACAACTTGAGGTTGAGAAACTTACTAGTCTAAGATTACAAGTTAATTAGTGGTTGAATAAGCACCAAAATTCAAGATTTTGTTCCCTAATTCAGTATTATTTTCTCTAGAAAAGTTAGCTTCTTTGCCTCCTCAATACCCTTCTAATAATGACTTCACTGGGTTGTAGTGGTACTTACCTAAAATAACTTATTTGGAAGTTCTTAGAAATGTACAGCTAAGGAATAGTAGACAACTGAAACTAGAAGTTTTTAAATTCCTATACATGTCAGTTCCCTTCTTCTGTTTTATTACAATCAAATAGTGCGAAATGAAAGCTAGAAACATAGTGGCTTCCCTTCCTTATCTATAGCCAAAATATATAACAGAGAGTATTTTTTGAGATAAAGAGAGAACAGAGAGTAGAATCTTGTGTGGATAGAATGTGTGTGTGTGTGTGTGTGTGTGTGTGTGTGTGTGTGTGTGTGAGAGAGAGAGAGAGAGAGAGCATATCAAGCCAACTTTATACTTACCCACTGGTAAATGAAGCCACATTATTTACTTATCTGAGTAACAACTTTAAGGACAAAGCTACCTGAAAAAGTCCCTTACCTTGAATTGGATGTACTTTAGAAGGCCAAATTCTTTGGCATACATCCTGAAATATTCGAGGACATGTGAGTTATGCATGAAGTTAGGATAATGATCTGGGATTGGGTAGTCGCTGAAGCACATCATCTCCTTAGAAGTATTGATGATTACTGATTTGTAGATGCTGGCCCTTCCTTCTTCAGGATTTTCCTGTAATATAAAAAAATCATATATAGCAACCTGAAAATTATTTTTATAACTTACAAGTAGACATTAAATATTTGAAAAAGTATTCTGAAAGAAATGCTGATTTAAACAAAAAGCATACACACACACACACACACACACACACACACAACCTTTACATCTTGTAGTATTTGTGCCTGCTGTAGTCCTTTCCCCTTGAATCTGAGTTATATTTATTACAATTGAAATGCAATTGAATGACTTCCAAGTTTAGGCCATATGCAGCCTTGCAGCTTCTGCTTAGATGTATTAGAAGGCTCACTCTAGCGGAAGCTGTTAGACATATAAGAAGTCCAACCACAGAGGCTGCCACGAGGAAGTCTAAAATAAGCATATGAAGACAATGTCTTGGGTAGAGGTGTTCAGCCAGCCCTCAAAATGCTATCCTGGCCAAAGTTCTAAATATATGAACAAAAAGGCCATATCAAATGTGTGGTCTCAGTGATTACGTGATTTCAATCATATGAGATTCCAACTGAGGACTGCTGAGCTGAGTGGGTAAGTCTCAAGAGCTCCCATAGACATTGTAACATTGTTCTCCAATAAACACTGCACTAACTTAAATTCTCTCCAGTCTTACTAGAACTGAGTAAAATGAGCCAAAATGAAGTAAATGGGAACATATACTGGGGAAAATATAAGTTAGTACAATGTTTTCTGAGCAAAGCTGCAATATATATATAAAATCCTTTGAAAGTTTTATAGACTTAAGGAGTATTCAGCAAACAATTTTTGTTAATGCCAGCATTATTCATAAAATAAGGAACAAGGTAAATGCTCAACAGATTACTAAAACTTAAGAACTACTACTCTGGATCCTTGCTACCCAAAGTCTTCTTTATGAACCAGCAGAAAAGATATTTCTAGGGAAACAGTTAGAAATGCAGAATCTCAGACCTTAGCACCAGACTTCCTGAATCAGAAGCTGCATGTTAGCAAAATCCTGAAGTGATTCAGATCCCACATGAAAATGGGAAGCACTGCATTAGATGATATTAATTCCAAATTTAGTGTTCACTCACAATGAAATTCTTTCCTCAAAAACATGACGTTGATGTAATAATCCCATGAAAAACTCCATATGACCCAAGCCTTGAGAGTTCACAAATCACAGGTTTTCAAATCCATTATATTTTTTAACCTTTCTCTGAGTATGGAAAATCATCTTAACCAATTAGGATCCCACCCCTCTCTCTTTATTACGGAAATAAACAGGCTTTAGAATACTAGAGATTGAAAAAAAAAAAAAAAGAATGTCCATACTAGCGCTTGTTTCCTCTCCTTTTTTATTGAAGAATTTAGTCTACCTAAATGGATCATTGACATTTCTGTGTGTCATTATTCAAGTTCTCATTTTTTAACTTTTCAACAAGATTTTATAAGTCTCTTTTCAAATCTCTTTTAAGTTATCTTGCCTATTTCAACCAAATTATTCTAACTTGTGACCGTGGCTGTATCACTGCCCTAATTAAAATGTCAGGTGTTGCCCCATTTCCTACAAAGTTCCCCATTTTTCAGTTTAAAACTCAAAAACCTCCAGAATGTCTCATATAATATCTTGTACCATATTCCATGTCCTTCCTATTAGACTATAAGCTCTTTGAATTGGCTTTCCCTAGATATTTAAATTAAAAGTAGCATGCAGGAAATGTTTAATGTATATATTTAAATTACATTGAGAAACATATACACAGAAAAAGAAGTACATTTCACATACTACCTAACAAATTAATAAAATACATCAAAATTTATTTCAAATGATTTGAATAAGATATATTTAGCACGTTCTTAAAACTTCCTATGGAAAACTGCAATAGTTCTTAGTTTTGGTTGCACATTAACTAAAGAGTATTGTCAATTAAAATTTAGATAGTCCCCCAAAAAGAGCCACGATGCTAAAGGACTGTACTTTGTTCATGTAAAGAATGCCTTAAAACCCACATTTTAAGTGATTGGTGAATACAGTGTTAGTTTTTATAATATGAAATACAGCAGTGACACCTCAGTATCATTGACTATATCAGAAAGTATGTGAAAAAGCAAAGAAACACATGCCCATTTGGCAGTCACTGAAGGCAAGCAGTTAATATATTGTGACATTGAATAAGCATAATGATCATTTAAATAGCTAATTTAAAAATTGTTACTAACAAGTTACAGGGTTGAATGTGAAAATTAAAACAATTCAACCTTAAATCCAAGCATACATGAATCAGGAAACCCTGGTACAGGTGCCCTCTGCCCTCTTGAGACAAAGGACTTTAGACTTTTCCATGGAAGGAAAAGTTCAAATCAAACAAGGCGATGATATTTTATACCTAAAGTGAATTGGGATTTATTTTTATTGGAAATTAAGGTTGAAAATTGAAAATGGGAGATCCTTGGAAGGAGTTGTAAGCAGGTAATTCTAGCACATTCACCAATTAATAGAGACCTGGAATAATCACCCTAAATTTTCTAACCCCGGTATATTTCTAATATTGTTATTTTGTTAGCCTGTGCATGTGATACTTGTGTTGAATTTTGTCACCAGCAAAAGAAAAGAGAAAGTTGTATAAAACCCTAGTGGTGGCTGCTGACAGGAGGTCAGCAGGCTGAATTCAAGGAGCTTTGGTTGCTCTCAAGCTCAAGCTCATTATGGACCTGACGTGCAAGAAACGGTCTCCTGCACCTGGTTCCTGAAAAGGCTCCTAGTATTGAGGGACAGGAGACTTACCTGGAATCTCCAGAGCCCTCCGATATCAGCACTCCTTTCAAAGCAGACAGGCTCCAGGCCTTCCTCCAGGCAGCATTTGATAGAGGAGAGACCGCTCACTCCTCCCCCAATTACCGCAATCCTTTTCTTGGTCATGGTCTCCAGAGATCTTCACCTGGTTAGCTCTGGATCACTTATCTTAAAAGAATGGCAAAAGACAGAGAGCACACCAGTTAGACCCTTCCAGCATCTGGAAAGCACTCTAACAAGCACTGGGATCTGGGGAGACCACTTTCCGATTGGGGTGTACTCTTCTTGGAAGGGGATTGGAGCTAGTGGGAAGCGGGCTCGAGCGCCTGGTAACCTGGGACCACAAATGTCTGCGCTCCGCCCTGGTACCTGCGCTCACTGTCTGCGAAGGGCCTCCCCAAGAATCTCTCAGCTGCGAACTGACTTTTAACTGCGACCACAAATACCAACTCACAAACAACAGCAATAGCCAATGGGGAAGGCTTGGGAGCGTCCCGCCGGCTGACAGCCAACACCCGCCCACTCACGGCTCCGCATAAATTTTCTGTCCTTAGCCGAGAGAAAACGTGGTTTAGATCTGCTTGGCACAGAAAATCACCGCAACCACTACCATCATCATCAGCAGCAGCAGCGTCTAAGTTTTTCAATCCCCGTCTCTGCACTTATTCCTCTTACACTTTTTGCAGACGGAATACAGCGTCCTCCCCTCCCAATTTTCCCTCCCAATTGGACGTGGGCTTTTAACTTCCTGCTTTTGCCTTAAAGCGATAAACTTCTGGGTGAAGTGAAACTCTCAACTCCCAGGCTAGACATGTTCCAACTGCCTAAATGGATCTCAGGATCTTTCCAGGGGGCTCAGCAGGGGTGCTCCCTGCTTGATCTTTTCATTTTTTTATCGGTACCGGGGATCGAACTCATGACCGCCTGCTTGCAAGGCAGGTGCTTATGCCGCTGAGCTAAACCCCTAGCCCCTTCCTGTTTCATCTTCATCCCACTTCACTGCTGGACTTGGGTGCTATACTGCTAGCTGGGAGTTACTCTAAAATCCCCATGCTTTGAACTGAGTGCTAGGAAGGAATAGATTTTGCTTCCTACTTAGAGGAGTTTACAATTTAGTGGAGGAGACCCATACGTACACAGTAATTTCAGCAAAATAAAACTTTAAAAAATGATTTCTCTCAAATAGTGATAAGTGGTTAAAAACACAAAATATCCACTTCCAAAATGTACCTTAAATTTTCAAATACAAAATCACGTAGAGCTGTCAGTGAAACATATCCAGGATTTTACCGTCTGGGCCCCTCCAGCCCAGATCCGTTAGGTGTAAGGAGTCTAAGGGGTCATGGAACTTATGCCGCTGAGCTAAATCCCCAGCCCCTCTGAGTCAGATTTAATTAAATTGGTTCAAAGCCAACCAGTGCCAGCCCTGGATTTGTACTTACTGGATTTGGAAGTATTCTTCAAGAGTCACTAATTATCTTTCTTGAGGGCTTTCCTTGTATGTTTCAAACAGTGTAATGGGAATCAACCCATTGCATCCTCTGAACAACCCCAGGGAGCATGTAATACTATGACTGCTCCCATCTCGGAGGAAAGTAAAAGTATAAGGAAGCTAAGTAACCCACTGAAGACTGCACAGCAAATCCATGTATAGACAGGGATGCAAAGGAAGCTGTCTGGCTCCATGCCTGGGCTCTTACCATTTCTTTGGTGAGCTGTTACTTATTACACAAATAAATATTGTGTTCAATTCAGTTACACATTCTATTGGGAAGAGCAATATGAGTGATTGCTAACAATGGCTCTGTTAAGGTTTCCCAAAAAAAAGTTATCCAAGTTTTTGGGGGTGGTCAAACTCAAAACATTCTGCAATGAGAGCTAATGGACTGAAGGTCTATGTAGAACCTACAAATAAAAGTCTTAAAGTTTAATAAAATAAAGGTTGTGTTTCAGGTATAAATTATCATCTAGTAGTTCTAGTAGTTAAATTGGCTTACAGATAAGTGAACACTCATGATGTAGTCCAAATACTTTTGTTTATATGGTTTAACAGTGAACTAATTTAAATTAGTTGATAAAAGTAAAGTCTTGAAAATCAATGACATGTTTTCATGCAGGCCAATCAAGATAATATTTATCTTTAAAAATGGTATAGTTGAGCTCTGGGTATTCCACCAATGAAGCTTACAGACCAAGAAAAGATGAATTATCAGTATAGCATGTTTGGTAACTATTCAGCAGTCAAAGATAAAGTTAAGTTTATAACAGGTACTTAGCCGTGGAGCCAGCTAAGATGTCGAATTGATAACTAAAAATATTATAAACTTGACATTTCTGCCTTCATTTAAAAAAAAAACTCTGTCACATTTGTTATCTTTAAATCTTGAGTCATATTCCTGTTCAATCCTACATGTAGGCATTTAATCACTTAAGGAGTATCTATCTAAAAATGAGTAATACAAATTTTATTAGCCTAAAGTTTACCTAACCTATTTCATCTCCCTTTAAGACTAAGGACACCAAGAGTAACTAAAGGGATTTTCAGAATTTGCAGGGATGCTCAGTTGCCAGCTTTTACAAGTCCTGTTCCAGATGTTGTAGAGGAATTCTTAGGAGATTCTAGTCAATGTCCTAAATCTTGATACCCAGCCCCTTAGGAAATCTTTCTCCAAACAGAATCAATCATCACATGAAAACAGGATTGCCTTCTCTGGAGCAACCTGGAAGAGCTACTCCTGAGATAACAATCAACTAGAGTATATTTGGCAAGGTGTATCCTGAACATAGACACACTAGCCCTGGGAATTCCCAACCTGTGACTTTGTCCACTCCCCCTTTTTTTGTACAACCCTGATGTTCTTGTTAGTTCTACGAAAAGGAATGTTAAATCTCTTTGTTAGTAGTTTTCTTTTTATCTGCTTTACCACTGTTGACTCCTTGAGTGGCATTTTGGAATGGGTGGCCAAGTCTGGTGTGTTGGGCTCCCCAGAGCTGGGGCTTTTGGTCTAAAACTCTAGTAAAGATCTTGGCTTTATACCATGTAGAAAAGCAAATCCCAGAGGTAAATGTGAAAAATAAAACTAGAGAAATCATAGAAGAAAATATAGGAGGATATTTACATAATAATAAAGGTTTAAGAGACAAAATGTAAGAACTATGAAGGAAAAGTTTTACACATGAAAATTCAAAATTTTACAAGATAAAAACAAAAGCCAATATGAGGAAAACATTTATGGCATATTGAAAAAGGGATTAAAGTGTCTGCTTTAGCAGTACATATACTAAAACTGGAATGATACAGAAAATATTAGCATGGCCCCTACAAAAGTATAACACACAAATTCATGGAGTGTTTCATATTTTTGTTTATATATACATAAAAATAGCTAAGATGATTATACTACTAATTCCATTAGTTCTTGGAAAAGAACAATTAATATTCATAGGTTAGATCAATTTTGCGTGTCTATATCTGGTAATCTAATCAACTCTTTTGCAGATAACAATATGCAATATTGCAGCCATTGTTAAGTTCTTATCATCTTGTTTTGAAAGCCTACATTGTCATTGTTTTGAGTTTTTTGTTGTTCTTGTAGTTGTTTGTATGTCTCTTGTTTTCTATTTTTCTTTTCTATGTTTTTTCTTTTTAAAATAAAATTTTAAAAGGATTAAAATCTAAAATGTCTGAAAAACTTACAAACCACTATCATACAAAAGATAATCCTTTAGAAAAAAATAAAGGATATGAATGAGTCATTCAAAATAGAAGAAATAAAAATGACCTATTAATTTATGAAAATATATTTAATCAGAAATATAATCAAGGAAATTTTAGACAATGAAATATCTCTTTTACTCATAACATTGAAAAACAAAACAAGATTGGTCCTTCTCAGAACTAGGGAAGTAATGAAGTGGGCATGCTCACACAATGGTAGAAGAGATGCTGAGTAATCTTCAAGGTGAATAATTTATCAAAATTGTAAGTTCTTTTTATTCACGAATACTTTTACAATATTTTCTACAGAAAAAGTTGCATGTACACATAAACAAAAATGTTTCGAGGGAATAGCTTAGGTGTCAAAGTCATACTATGTAGACTCTCTCACTGACTAGTTTTCTGGCCTTGGGGAAGTTAACATTTTTGTGCTCAATTTATCACCTGTAAAATGAAGCACAGGATATTACCTATCCTTTAAGTTTTCTGTAAGGAAGAAAGAAGATAATACACTAAGCTTTTAAAAGCTTAGTGTTAGGTGACATTCATAGTGAAAAATTTAAAATGACTTCATACAAGTTCAAAATAAAGATTCTATTATTATGAGACAATCAGACCTGTCTGAGTCTGTCTATCTATCTATCTATCTATCTATCTATCTATCTATCTATCTATAATTAACCAAAGTCAGTAATGCATGACTGAGTAGATATACCATGCTCAGGGTGTGTGCATATATGTGTCTGTGTGTGTTTCTGTTTACCTTCAGGGTCCATGTTTAAGGACCACAGAAATGAGAAAAACAGTATGTCTGTGGATCTCCTAAGATAATGAGATTGCCATGGAATGTCAGCAATGAGGGATAACTCCTTATTTCTTGAGGTACAGATACTCTGGTAGTTCTCACACTCATTTTCAACCAAAATTTTTTAGTTATTCACAATATCTTTGACATTCACATTTGGGTTAAGTTGAGTTTGGTGGTGTATGCTTATAATTCTAGCACTGTGGGAAGCTGAGGGGAGAGGGTCACTAGTTCAAGCCCAGCCTGAGAGACTTAGCAATTTAGCAAAACTGTTTCAAATTAAAAAAAAAATTTAAAAAGACTGGGGATGTAGCGTAGTGTGAAGGTTCTAGGTTCAACCCCATCATGATAAAAGAGGAAACATTTTCTTATGAAAAATTATTTTACTTTGTTTTTACAATTGTAATTGTTAATTACAATTAACCTAGTTAATTGTAATTCTATATAGTTATATCCTCATTTCAAATTACTGTGTGCCAAGAGCTTTTCAGAAGCAGCCTCTGATTGTTAAAACCCTTGATTATGAAGATTATTGCATAGGGCAATTTTAGCAGTTTCAGGGTGTGGGGAACTCCTTTGGCTTAATATTACAACTCTTATATTAATATTACAACTGTGCCTCAGGAGCACAGTTACATAGGCAACATCTGTGTTTACTTTTCAAGCCTAAGACTCAGGCTGTGTGGGGTTAGGGCACAAGATGGCTTTGGGTTCTTAGCGATCAAAGGAGGAGGAAAGTTGAGGGGAGTTTTGGCGATTGTAGTCTTTGGTAGTGATATCACACTGTCAAAATATGTTTAAGTGTAAGGTGGATCATGAGAACCATTTTGGTTCCATCTGATTTAATTTGTTAAGATAACACCCTTAGATATATTAGAAAAGGTAAATTAGAAAAGGTACATATATTAGAAAAGGTAAATTCTAGAGTTTGAAAACTCAGAAGTTTTGGGGACTAACTAGGTAGACTGCATAAATGTTTTACTGCTGGATGAGAACAGAAGAGTCAGAGAGCATGGGATTAATTTGATGGCAATCCATACAGTCAAAAGGCATTCAATTAGAGGAAAAACGAACATTATCTTGCCAACCAAAACAATGATAAGCACATTTCAGGGCAGAGCTGTGCACAATCTCTGAACTTTGCTCTCAAAGATTACCTGTTAATGCTCCAGGGTTGTGTCCTTACCTTTGATATTAGAGGAGTATAGCAATTCTCTGAAGTAACCAGACAAGGCTCCCGTGAAGGATTTGTTGCTATAATTTTGCATTCTCTTTAGTATACCCGCCCTAAATTTTTGTGATTTAAATTTATTTGGTGTTATTTGATGCCAAACATGTATAATTACTTTAAAGTCAAAATAAAGTTTTTCTTATTGTGTGAGAAAGAAAACCTCTGTTTCTTTCCTCCTGGTGCAGTATTTTTTTTCCACAGCAGGGCACTGACAAGTTTAACCTTTGCCAAAGGTCCAAGTTCATGTATTCCAGAAAAAAGATCTGTACAGACTCCTCTTTAACCACAGTTTTTACTGAAACTCTACTAGATCCTGCCAGGTAGTGTCTTACTATTACCCAATAGAGGAATGACATAGCAGAAAGTAAATGTAACCTGTTTGTTAATCTGCACTTGTTTGGGTAAGGATTACAGACCCTCAGGTTTAAAGGTATAACCTAGATGCCATTAATCTTACTGGGTTGCTGTTGCTAGAGGCCCTGCTGTTTCTTTGGAGGAATAAAACACAAAGTTATTAGAAATGTCATGACTATGTAACCTGAGTGATGAATGAAAAATAAATTGGGTTTATTCTAGAAGTCAAAATCAACTCATTAGAAAATATTGAACAAGTTTCCTAAATAGTCCGTGTTTTACTGTGTTCACCTGTAGAATGTTCTCTCCTTGCTTCAGGGTTAGATACAAATCATTGGTACAGTGGCAATGTACTGTCTGACCCATGTGCACGATGAGTGACCAAGGATACAGAAAAGGCAACAGAGAAGCATAAAATCCTGAAAAAAAGCTCCTTCCAGAAGGGGTTCACTTCCTAGCTGGCACTCCTAGCTAAGCCTGCTTAGATGATATAGTAGTTGATGGGCTTTTGGAAGATAGGTTCCAGTTCCCTGTGCATGACAAACAAGAGCTGGACATTACACACTGTTGGGGTTCTGTAAGCAAAGGGAAAATAAAGGGTTGCACACACTAAGGGTCAGCAAAAATGGCTGTCACCTGGCCAGCCTAAGCAAGTAGCTTTTATTGTGATAAAGAACAAGGAAACTCAAATTGCACATGCTTAGATTATATAACTTGTCTGCCTCCTGTCTTTATAGGACTTCATGTCCCTACCTTGGGGTGGGGGCAATGTTTCAAGGCCTGTACTTTTTCCCAAAACATTGTCGACCAGATGTGTCCGGGACAAGATGGAGTCAGTGTGACCTGTCTACATCTCCCCCTTCTATTTTTAGTTTAGACTTTCTTACCATATTAGAAGCCAGTATTTGAGGTATGAACATTTTGCATAGCGATGGGATGCATTGTACAAAGCATCCCATACAGATTAAACAGATAAGGACAGTAATATCATAAAGAAACATTTGTTTTAGCCAATTGATATCTGGTAACCATCCTGTAAGAAAATTCCATAATTCACTATTGAGCCCTTAGGACACATGAATCTGTTTGATAAGATCTTGTAAATCATGAAGTTTCCCATTGATGGATGTATTTTCATCAGGCAAATTAAAACAGCACATTTGAGCAATTTCATTACATTCATGATGATATAATAGAAGTAGACAATCAGTTGCGGCACAATTATCTAAAATCACTCGTCAGTGCTCATTTTGTTTTTGTTTAATAATACTAAAGCTGTGGAAGCATAATTAATTTGTTTTGCCATGAGACAAGCTAGTGCATTAACACTGCGATTGGCCCTGACTACCAGGGCCAGCACACCAACCAAAACATAAATTTCTGTTTTGGTTAAACGGCTAATAGAAAAGTCCCCATATAAGTCAGTGTAGACTGTTTGGTGTGAGACAGTATAAGTTCAGGAGAAGGCAACAATATAGTAAGATGACTAAGGCAGCATTTTGTGTTATGAGATAAGTTTGCAGGGATGTAATTGAAGGTATGTTTCTTCACATGAGAAAAACCATCGAGTAGGGAGAGGAACATGTCCGTGTCCATATAATATTGTAACTAGAGGGCTGGGGATTTAGTTTAGCAGCAAAAGCACCTGCCTAGCAAGCATGGGGTTGTGAGTTCGATCCCTGATACAAAAAAAAAAAAAAAGTATTGTAACTAGAACAATTCCAAGTACTACTTGGAAAGCAAAGACATTGAGGAGTACAATTTTCAATACAAGCACATGAGGCATTTGAAGTTGCTACTTATGGAGTGAACATTTTAACAGCACTATCAGGGGGTGGGAGTGCCCCCAATTTGGATAGAAAGTATTTGTTACAATTTTCTTTGAAATAGTGGAGAAAATGGTATAATTACTTAGAGAGGTCCTTGCATACCAGAATCAGACAGGACCCAAGAATGTATTTTATTTCTGTATTTTGAGAAAGACAGAAATGAGAGACATTAGCTGTTTTTGTAAATTCAACCCAAATATTGTATTCCAATCTTTCCTGGAGGTTGTGGGACTCTAAGGTCCTCGTGGTGGGTTGCAAAACACATAGCGATAGAATACAAACAAACATTAAACAGTTCATTGTCAATTTGGTAAATATTGCTGCAAGAATCTTTTCAGCAGTGGGTTCCTCTTCAGATGTACAGAGCAAGTCTTGTGCAGATTGGATCACTGGCTGAGCAGTCATCATCCTGGGTCGCTTCCGAGGT